AACAGATGTTTATGTTTTATGTTTTTTTTCTTGTTTTTTTTTATAGATATTAGTCACTTGGAGATATATATATATATATATATATATATATATATATATGTTTTTAACTGATTGTCCAGAAGAAAATATTTTAAATAGTTGATTTAAATGACTATGAATTGAATGCTAATCATGAGTCTAGGACTGTGTTAGTAATTGAGACATATGTTCCTATAAAGGAAACACAAGATAATGGCCCTGTGTTCATGGTATTAGCTATTAAGATAGAGAGATAAGAAATATATGCTGCAAAATTCAGAGAATGATTTAGTACTGAAATATATAGTACTGTCTATAGGTTGTATAATCATCTAAGTCTCCCAAAGTCTCTGGATAGTTCAGTGGTGATAACGTGATTTTTGCTGCATGTATCTCCTTGATATAACCAAAACTCCAACCCTTTTCAACATTGGCTTCTGCTTGCTATAGACGCTCCTACAACATAATTCATGTGAGTTCATCAACCATTTGGTCTCACATAGTAACTACAAGGCATCTTTCAGGTTCCTTTCCTCTGGCTTTGGCTTCCTTCGTTGCTGTTCTCTATTCAGGAAGGCAGTAGGTACTGCCTCATTTCTGCCACTGCTGCTGGCTCCTGCCACAAGAATACTGAACACATGGGTCCCAGGGTGCCAGTTTCCATTATTCCCAGGTTGTGATCCCCAAAGGTGTGGGAGCCTCCACACTAGTCAAGGTCTTCCTGATCACCTGGACTTCAGGATTTGGGGGTACTTATTTCTCCCTGTCTCATTCATGATTATGCTTATCAACATATTTGTGGGACTATGTTATATGCCAGAACCGTGAGGACTGTTGGTGCTTGATGGTGACTAAGGAAAGCTATGGGCTTCCCTGTCATGTTTGGTAGAGGAGAAAATGGGATTATAGTGAGAGGGGTCAAATGGCAGTTGGATTAAGTAGTAGGAAGGAGAGGGACATGGTACCACAGTTTGTCTTCTCCAGACCCCTGTTGGAGTTTAAGCCCCATTGTGAGCTCTTTGGAGGGTAAAAATTTAATCTGACTATTGTGTCTAAAATTGGGGTGTTTGTGAAGTATTTAGGGTTAGATAAAGTCTTCAGGTTGGAGCCCTTATGACTAAAAACTGGTAACTATAAGAAGAGAGAGAGAACAGAGGAAATACACTTGCATGCATGCTTCCTGTTTTTCACCATATGGTGCCCTGAGCTGCCTCAGGTTTGGGGTAGCAAGAAGGATGTCATCAGATGTGGGCCCTCAGCCTTGGACCAGAATTGCCAGACAAAATGAAACTCTTTTCCTTGTAACTACCCCAGTCTGTGGTATTGTGTTACTAGAAATAGAAAATGAACTAAGGCGCAATGTGACATGGCAGATTGTAACACAGGATTTGACTAGTCAGTCAGCATTTCCTGAAATCAGGTTGAATATGGTTGAGCATCATCCTAAAGAATGTGGCAGAGTGAGTTGATGAGGGAATCCCAGACAGAGGAGCATGAGGTGCAAAAGCTTCCTGGAAGGTTCCTTTAGGATCTTCCTTCAGATTTAGTCATGGGTCCATGTGGTAGGAAAGCTATGGCAGAGGCAGAACCCAAGTCAACTCTGTAATCCTCTCTCCCCATTTGTTCCTTTTCGCAAGCTGCTTCCCCCATGCGAAGCAACTCAGTGGTCCACCAACCACCCTGATTTGCGTGGGCCTGCCTCTACCCCAGATGTACGTAGAGATTTTGCTCAAGTTAGGATTCCACATCTTGGCAAGGTCTGCAGGAGGAGATCTAAGTGCTTTCTGAAATTCATGGAAGAGTTGGGGTTTCTGCTATGCTTTGGAAGGAAAGTTGAGAGGAATAGGGAGCTCACATAAGTAGAAGGGACAAAATTGGTAGAGGGTAGAGGTGGCAATGATCCCATTAAATGAGAAAAAAATAGGAATCTGGAATTCCTGGAGTAGAGGGTTTATTATGAAGTCATAAACCATGCTTTGGGATATGAAATTGGGGCTTTGTTACTGTGTATTGTAGAAGGCTAATGAACAAAGAAAGAATGTAATTAAAAAACTTAGCAAAAACTTTTTCAAATAATGTAATGAGTGGCCTAACACAGGGAATTTTTATAATTATTTTGATATTTTCAGTTTTGGATAATGATAGCTCATCCAAATGTGATTATCTCCTATGTATCTAGAAACATAAGAATTGGTCAGCACCATGGCTCCATGGCCTAATCTTCACCTGCAGCACTGGCACCCCAAGTTCCAGACCCAGTCGGGGTGCTGGATTCTGTCCCGGTTGCTCTTCTTCCAGTCCAGCTCTCTGCTGTGGCCTGGGAATGCAGTGGAGGATGGCCCAAGTCCTTGGGCCTTGCACCCATATGGGAGACCAGGGTAAGCACCTGGCTCCTGGCTTCAGATCAGCGCACAGCGGCCATTGTGGGGTGAACCAATGGAAAAGGAAGACCTTTCTCTCTGTCTCTCTCTCTCACTGTCCACTCTGCCTGTCAAAAAAAATAATAATAAAATAAAAAAATAGAAACATAAGAATGGTACTCAGGAAGCATCAGGTTTGATGTTTTATGCAAATACATGTGAATGTTATTTTTTCCGTAACATAGTTATGGGATTTCACTGTTTTCTAGCAGCTCTGTGAACATTTGAAGAGGTATAAGTTAGTGTTAATGGTTAAAAATGCACTTCCAAGATCCTATGTGATTTTTTTCATTAATTCTGATTCGACAGTATTTATAAGAATGATTAGTTAAGAAATATCTTTGTTGTCTCTACTTTTTTTTTTTTTTTTTTGACAGGCAGAGTTAGACAGTGAGAGAGAGAGACAGAGAGAAAGGTCTTCCTTTTTCCCCACAATGGCCACTATGGCCAGCACGCTACGCCAATCCGAAGCCAGGAGCCAGGTGCTTCCTCCCGGTCTCCCATGCGGGTGAAGGGCCCAAGCACTTGGGTCATCCTCCACTGCACTCCCGGGCCATAGCAGAGAGCTGGACTGGAAGAGGAGCAACTGGGACAGGATCCAGTGCCCCAACCGGGACTAGAACCTGAGGTGCCGGCGCCGCAGGTGGAGGATTAGCCTAGTGAGCCGCGGCGCCAGCCAGTTGTCTCTACTTTTGATTCTGCCACGTGTAGCTTTTGTGTTCTTAGGCACATAAGGAGTTGATTGTTGCATATTCACTGTTGTGAACCACTGATCACAGAGTTGATAGCATTTTTGTCTTTGGTAAGCATTTTTCTCTGTGAAAGAGATTTTTCAAGAACAAATCAGAGTAATTCATATATATATGCATATATAATAAAGAAATTTTATTTCATTTTACTGTTCCCAAAGGTTAAGATATATGAACAAGGAATAAAATTAAAATTATTTTTTGAGATGATTTATGTCTTAATTTTCACCTGCCCTATAATTAGAAATTTTGAACTCTGTAAATTTTTTTAAGATAAAATTATTGCCTGAGTAAACTTCAGAAATTACATCATTAACCCAGTGACCTTTCTAAACCTAAAACAACATTATTGGTACAAAGTGCCTGCACACACACAGACAAATAAATAAAGAAGAAAGTTTAAAATAATTTGAAAATGATTTATCGTTGGCTGCCTCTGTAGTTAAAGATTCAAGTATTATTACTTTACTTTAGTGCAACAAGGGAGGACAGTAACTTGCTGTGGGCTAAAGGTAAATTATGATCTATTGCAAAGGAGGAAGGAAGTGTACTGAAGAAAGAGAAGGAGTTGGGAGTAAGCCATGTGTTTTCTGAAGGATTGCATTGAAGAATGCCTTGAAAAAAATCTTTGCCTTGACCCTTGCTGGAAAAGGCCAGAGTAAACTGAGACAGATAACTTTCTTGAATCTCAGACAGTTAAGGACTAATGTGCTGTGATGGATCTAGTCAGATGGATATGCCAGAATGTAATACAAACTAAGATATCTAGAGTCACAGACTCCCCCTTCTTCGACTTTACTTAACAATTCTATCCTGGATGCATCCAGATTTAAAGTTTGAAGTACTCACATGCACAGAGACTTAGGATAACTGTTGTGAAGTAATTTTGTTTTTCCACTCGACTTACATAGTTTGGGAAATGGGTAGAAGTCTTCATATTGAAAATTAGTTATAGGTTCTTACATCAATGAGTCTAAGAACTATACTTATTTGGAATAAAAAAGTGGTAAAATTTCATTCTTAAAATAGAGTGTGATTCAGGGAAGGCAGAGAAAAGACTAACATGTTTGGAAGGTTTATTGTGTGGCAATATCCAAGTTAGATGTTTCATAGATTCCTCAGTTACTTCTCTTAAAATCGTTTGGTGGAAGATCCTGTTCCTTCTGTTTTTAACTGAGGAAACTGAAGTCCACCCATAAGTGTGTTACCCAAAGGGCATGGCAGAATGTGGCAAAACTGTGGTTCAAGTGTAAGTTTAGTCTTATTACAATTTCTGTGTTTTTTCAATACCTTGCAGTGCTCTCAGACTGCTTATATTACTACCTTTTAAAATATTTGGGTCACCCCCCAAAATTTGAAAAAATTGATGCTTACTGATCCTGAAACTTTCTTTTCCAGGTTTTTCTTTCATATGATTCTTCAACTGAATAACATCATATTGTTAATAACTATTCAATTTTCTAATCAAGAGAAAGTCACCTGGCTTTACAGTAAAGATGCCAGTTAGGGTGCCCACATCTCATATTGCAATGCCTTGGTTCAGCACCAGTTCTGGCTCCTGATTCCAGCTTGCTGCTAATACTGGTCCTTGCATTCAGTGGTGATGGCTCAAGTAGTTGTGTTCCTGCCACCCATGTGCACTGAGTGTTTTTGGCCATAGCTGGGCCCATTGAATGCATGTGGAGGAGTGAACAATCAGATTGGAGTGCTTGCACTTACACACACACACACACACACACACACTCCATCTTCTCTCTCAAATAAATATATAAAGAAAAATAAATTTAAAAAAATTTTCCTTGGGCTGTTTTAGGTTTGCTGCCAGAAGTACTTGTTACTCATCTTCGAGCAGCTGCTCAAGCCCAAGACACAGTGTTGGCACTGGAAGATGCTGTGGACTGGCACCCTGGGGATGAAGTTGTCATCATCAGCAGGGCAGGTGTTGAAGGTGCCAAACCAATGGAAGAAATTGTTGTTGTGGAAACTGTGCACAATACAGACCTTCATCTTAGGTCACCCTTGAGGTACTGAATATTGGTGTTGGGACGTTTGTCTTTTGAAATGTTTTTATTTGAGAAATTTATTTACATGAAAGGCTGAGTTACAGAAAGAGAGAGAGAGGGAGAGACAGTGAGAAGGAGAGAGAGAAACAGAGAGGTCTTCCATGTGCTGATTTTCTCTCTAAATGGCTGTAATAGCCTGTGCTGGACCAGGCAAAAGCCAGGATCCAGGAACTTCTTCTGGATCTCCAACAGGGGTGCCTTCACAAGTACATTAACAGGGAATTGGATCAAATGTCCAGCAGCCAGACTTGAACTGGTGCTCATATGGGTGTCAGCACTGCAGGCTGTGGCTTAACTTTTGAGCTACAATGCCAGTCCCAAGATATTTGTCTTTCAGTGATGCCTTTTTACATTAAATAGTTCTAGATATTTTGACAAGAACATTAGAAAGTATAAAACACTTCCAAGATTTAAACTTCTTAAATACCTTTCTTTTGTAGACTCTAGAACTTCTGTTTCATAGCAAGTGTTCAGTGTAACACAACAAATATTCTAATATCCATGTGCCTCTGCCCATCATTCACTCTTCTGGGTTGGAGTCTCTAAAGAATCAGACCCTCAAAGGGAAAGGGGCACACATTTAGGGGCTTACTATTCCTAATAAGATTTACAATGATGTCTTTAGATTATCTTCTGCTTTTACTTTTTTTTTTTTCCTAGATATTCTCACAGCTTCCCAGAGAATTGGGAGGCTGGGGGATACCACGTCCTAAAGGCCACCGTGGCTCTGCTTAGTAGGAACATTATCATACAGGGCAATCTCACTACTGAGAGGAAGAGGCTTCTTGCTTCATGCCAGGAGATCAATGCTTCAGAAGGTAGGAAAGTATTTTTTTTTTTTTTTTGGAAAATCCAGTGTGTGCAAAAGCATATTTTCACTGTCAAATGATATGTGGCATTGCTTTGGTTGACCACTTCTGAGATAGAGTAAGTCTTTAATCTTTGAATGTCCATAATATGGTGTAGCTTTCAGGATGCACTTGGTAAATTGTCATCTAACACTTTATGATCCTTCTTCCCATGCAGTCTGATAACCTGGTGAGATGGATAAAAGGAAAATAACTCAAATTAATTATTTCTTTGAGAAAAAAAATCCTTGTGAAGAATTAAATCAGGAGAGTCAATTAGCATTTCTATGTTATATATTATTATGAAGTTGATTCTAGGCTCTTTCTAAGATTCAAAGAAAACCATAATTCCAGAATCGTTGGCTCAGGCAGCACATTCTTATTGACTAGATTTGGAGCCCCTACCCCCACCCCACACACCCTTGCACCTTTGGGTTGTTTTCTAAGGGAACTACTACATATTTTAGGTAAGTGGTGGAAAAGTCAATTTATCTTCTACTAGAATAACAGGCACTGAATCACACTGATGTGCCTATTAAACATCTATTTCAGGGATGGTTAGTTTAGTAGGTTATGTTTTGGTTTCCCAGGCTGTAGATTATGAGGCTTTCATATGTGGTGAAGACATCATTTGTCAACTTTGGTCTAGGATGGTGTGGATGTCAAGGATGACTTCCAGGCATGAGCTGTGGATGGATGATGAGGCTGTTCACTGAGATGGGAAGAGGAGCAGGTTGTGGAGTGGGAGAGTAGCAATCATGAGTTTAATTTTGTACATGTGGAAACTTGGATGCCAGACTAGCAACAGAGTAGAGATGTCAAGAAATAGCAAGATTGGAATGAAGATTTGAATCATGTGTGCATATCAGTTCATGCTGGCATAAAGGTTTGATGTCGTGGTTGGGGAGTTATTAGTACTGGAGATGAACTCTGACCTTATCCCCCTCCTCCCATGTCATCAAATCACAAATGTGTCCTTCTGAAGAAGAAAGCTTTGACAGTAGTGAATTAGAATCCACTGACTGACAACTTTAACAATTCTGCCAAATTGAGATTTGCTTTCTATTTTGCTCTCTTGATAATTCTCAATTCAGTTGTTCTCAGATTACATTTTGGAATAACTTTGCATTTAATCACTGCCAGTGAGGCCACACTTTTATGTTTGAGTCTAGAAGTGTTATAAAGTTTTTAATTCCTAATGGAAAAGCACTGATTTCATCATCCCAAATCTTAAACAAGTCTACAGTATTCTCACATTAAGTCATTCTTTTGTGGGTGATAGAACTATCGAACAGCGTGGCTAAATCCAGTGTGATGAGACCTGGCTACTGAAACAATATGGTTACTGGCACAAATAATCAGTTTAAATCATCTAAAAATAAAGCATCTCTTCATCTCTCTTTTACATTGTACATCCATTCATTCTCTTGATATTAGCAAATGAAGGGACTCTGAAATTTACTGGAGAATGGTACATTGTTTTTTATTACTGGTCCCTGTTTGATTCATTAATGTGGGCAATAAGGAGTTGATTTGGGATACTCTTTCATGAGGTTGGTTCACGTCAGGAAATGCCAGTTGTGAGTAGAGAATGTTCTAAATCCTGAGGTCACAGCCCTTTGTAGCAGCAGTAGCTGTAGGTTCATGTAGTTTGCTTTCCTCACTAGCAGTGCAGCTGGGTAAGGAGGTGCTGTTAGTTCAGGAGTTCTGGAGCCCTTTGCCATTTGTATAGTTACATTATTACTAAGTCCCCAATCATAAACAACACAATACAAGGGAAACCCCATTGGACAGCTTAACACTAAAATAGGCTGTTATATTCAGTGGCTCATACCTTTTCCCTACATTTATCAACCATGAGAAGGCCATTTTACCTCATCCTGTCTCAAGGGAATCTCTTCAATTGAAGTAAGCAACCATTTTTGGTTGGATTTGTGGATTTTAGTTTGCCATTTTTGTGACAGTAATTAAGGTGATTGGTTTGGGAATTTCTGGAAGAGTAGAGAGGAGGCCACATCATGTCTCACAAAAGATAATCAAAGTAAAAGGGAATTAAGATTATTAAGAAAAACAAACAGTAATTGTCCTTTTGTACTGACCGTGCCTTTCATATGGGAGATTTGTCCCATATGGAAGCATGTTCTACAAGCTTTAGGTCTTCTAAACTTCATTCTGTATTGCAGGTAATCTGCAGAACTGTTTATATTCCAAGAGTGAGAAGATATTGGGATCAAGGGATCTGGGGGCCAAAGTAATCATTCAGTCCTTCAAAGAGGAGCCCAGCTGTGTCCAGTTGAAGGGAGTGCAGTTTCGAGATATGGGGCAAACTTTCCGTAGGCATCTGAGCTCTCTCACTGTGGTGGGAGCCGTGAAAGGTAAGGGGTCCATACCTATGCCTTTTTTTTAACTTTTATTTAATGAATATAAATTTCCAAAGTACAGTTAATGGATTACAATGGCTTCCCCCCACCCCATAACTTCCCTCCCACCCGCAACCCTCCCCTTTCCCCCCCTCCCCCCTTCCATTCATTTTCCTTTCTTCTATCATGTTAAAACACTGCTTGAAGAGGGTCATAAGTGACACTGAGATTTGAGGGATTCAGAGATTGTTGGTTGTTTATATTCTAGGTCAGTTATTCTTAATCTTCCATAAGCTGGAACAAATCACTTGAGAGCATATTAAAATTCAAAGTTATAGACATTCTTCTGACAGATTCTGCTCCAAGGTGGGCCTACCAATCTGAATTTTGATAATACAAACCTTATGATTCTGGAGCAAGTAGTCCAAGGAGTTCACTTCAAGAACCATGACTATACATGTGGAGTGAAACACACAACCCTTAGTTTTGAATCCTGCCTCTATATAGCATTTATTAGCTCTATGACTACAGGCAAATTGATATTGAATAGTTCAAACAATCAGACCATTAGTATGGTAGTGCAGGCCCAGCAGAAAGCACTTTTACATGCAGCTGCCTTTACTCAGAAGAATCTTTTTTCAAAAAATTATTTATGTTATTTTTATTTGGAAAGCAGAGAGGTGGAGATCTTTCATTCACAGATTCACTTCTCCAATGCCTTCAACAGTTATGGCTGGGCCAGGTTGAAGTCAGGAGCCCAGATCTTCCCCTGGGTCTTCCACATGGGTACAGGGACTCAATTACTTGATCTATTACCTGAGTGAGCATTAGCAAGATTTCTGGATTGGAGGCTGAGGAGCTAGGATTTGGAACAGGCTCCCTGATATGGGATACTGATATCCCAAGTCACAACTTAACCACTCCACCAAGCCCCCACTTCACTCAGAGAAATCGTCTGCCTGGGAAGATGGAGATAACTGAGCTTTTTCTGGGAACATGGAGGAGGCAGATCTACAGATCTTAGCCAAAGATGAAGACACAAGAAAGGAGCAGGAAACATCACATCCATGTGAGATTAACTAGTGAAAAACAAGATCAGAACCATAAAAAAAAAAAAAAAAGAACATGGCCAGATGCACCAATGAAAGTTATGAAACCAAAACTGGAGAAACAGGGGCATCCAGCTAAATACCAAATGTCAAAAGCTGATATGCAGAGTCATGGACTTGGGGGGCAGATAATAAATAAGGAGAACTGCAGCTCTATGTCTGAGTGATTCTCGCCATGCCTCAACATCTCCGGCATCCACACATGCAAGCTTTGCCTTCATGGAATGCAGACTCATCCTGCGAAGTCCACACTGTCGGGGAGAGTGGGGCGAGGTGTTCTTCCACAAGAAGCACGGGAGACAGGCTTTGGTGAACATGTCCGTCTTTATTCACAGCCGCGTGTGCTTTTAAAGGGCAGGCAGAAGGGACCTAACTAACTCAGGGGAATACTAACTCTGTAGGACAGAACCGACACTGGTGCCAACATGCCTTGCCAATGAGCTTGAAGGTCATGTAGCTAGGGTAACTTTCCAGGTGTAACTGGGCCACACCTGGGAGCAGTTTACCTGATTGGTAGAAGGCAGGGGTGGGGAAATGTGCCTGGGGGTCATGCTGCCTGCCAGCAGCCAGGCTAACTGCATGGGCATTTTTCTCATTTCAAATGATCTTCATGCCAAAGATGTTTGTTTATTCTAATTTTCCAGGACTGTACGGATGTATGTGTTTTTGTATGATAGTCATTTAGGGGGATGGTTTCTAACAGCCCCTTCCCTAGTACATGGGTTGATTTGTGCCTTTCTCTCTGGTTCTGCAGTCTGCTGTTCTTTATTATGCTGCAGAATATTTGCTATGGCAACTGGCTCCAGTAAAAGAAAGGGAAGCAGTCACATGCGAGTTATCAATAGAACAAAAACAAAACCCTCTCTTGCTCAAAATTCAACAAATCTGCTTCCAAGACCTCTGCTTCAACTAAAGAAGTTGTGCTTTTACCTATTCATCCTTATTAGGTTTGTTTAGAAAAGGGTTCACTGCTTACAAAAATATCATCATTAATACATTGTCCTCTGTAAATACCTGTGAAATGCAGATGTACTGCACAGAAGGGTAACACACTACCCCAGAAGTTAGAGTCTTCTGGGTGTTCTACCAAGAATCTTTTTGTTTAATGCCCTGAAGACCCTTAATACCTGAGTGGCCAGTTGCTCCAGAGGCTAGAGTAGAAGGCTTAGAAGACATTGGAACCTTTGCATAACATTAGCAGAAAACTGGAATCAAGGACCAGAACCAGGAAGTAAACCTCCCATATGAGTGCTGAGACCCAAGGATTTAGGCCATCCTCCACTGCTTTCCCATGTGTATTAGCAGGGAGCTGGATTGGAAATGGAGCAGCTGGGATAGAATCAGAGCCTATATGGGATGCTGGCATTGAAGATAGCTGCTCAACTGGTTATGCCACAGCACTGGTACATTAATCTTTATTTCTCTTCTATAATGTACAATTATTAAAACATATACAGTCATGTGTTACTTAACAATGGGAATACATTCTGAGAAAGGTGTTGTTAGGCAATTTTGTGTTTATGAAAATGTAGAATGTATAAGGGTACTTCAAAAAATTGTGGGAAAATGGAATTAGAAGGTAAATTGATTTTGGCTTGAAACATTTTTTGAAATCCATGGATAGTTTTTATTATAATATGCATTTTCTAAGAATTCTTTGAAGATTTCTCATAAGCATAGATTTCAAAAATTTTTATAACAAGATAAATTTATCGTTTGATTCCAGTTTTCAAAGATTATTTTGAACTCCTTATATAAACAGAGTATAGATCACTCAACGTGGCCTCTTGATGCAATCAAAAAACTGGTAAATATGAGGCCGAGGCTGATGCTATGTAATGCAGTATGCTGTTTTGCAATAAACTCCTTTTTTTCTTTCAAAATATAAGTAGAAGTATATTGTAAAATAATGATTAAAAGGATAGTAAAGGGGCCACTGCCCGCTGTGCCAGCATCCCATGTGGACACTGGTTGGAGTCCTGGCTGCTTCATTTCTGATCTATCTCTCTGCTGTGGCCTCGGAAAGCAGTAGAAGGTGGCCCAAGACCTTGGATCCCTGTACCCACATGGGAGACCTAGAAGAAACTCCTGGCTCCTGGCTTCAGATTGGTGCAGCTCCGGCCACTGTGAGTGGAATGAACCAGCAGATGGAAGATCTCTCTGTCTCTTTGTCTCTCCTTCTCTATCTGTGTAATTTGATTTTCAAATAAATAAATAAATCTTTTAAAAAATGGAAGTATAGTAAATATATAAACTGGTAACTTGGTTATTTATTATCATTACCAGTTTTATGTGGTGTATATAATTTAAAATTCTTTAAAATTCTTTTATTTATATGAAAGGCAGAGAGAGAAGAGATCAACCTTTCATCTGCTGATTCATTCCCCTAAATACCTGCAACAGCCAGGGCTAGGAGAGGCGGAAGCCAAGAGCCTGAATGCCATCTGGGTCTCCATAGTAGCAGGGATAAGCCATCACTCTGCCTCCCAGTGTGTGTATCAGCCGGAAGCTGAAATGGAGAGCAGAGCCAGGATTCAAACCCAGGCACTTGGACATGGGATGGGAATATCCTTAGCATGCCTAACTGGTATGCCAAACAGCCACCGCATGTACATAGTTGGCATGTGTTGAGAGTAACATGTTAACTGTTACACCATCACTAGACGATAGAGATTTTCCAGTTTCTTTATAATCTTGTGGGACTACTATCACACATGTATTGGCTGAAACATTACATGGTGTTTGACTGTAGTTGATACTCAGTAAATAGTTATCCACTGACTGATCCAGACCACAGAACTTGATTTGGGGACCACAGAATATGCCTGTGGGTCCAGTGTAATAATTTCTCTAAATGGCAACTTCTTTTACCAACATGAGGAATGGTTCTCACTTAGCTTCATGAACCTACATTTAATTATGAGAATCTGGGCTGGTGCTGTGGTGCAGCGGGTTAACGCCCTGGCCTGAAGCGCTGACATCCCATACGGCATCCCTGACTGCTCCACTTCCAATCCAGCTCTCTGCTATGGCTTGGGAAAGCAGTAGAAGATGGCCCAAGTCCTTGGGCCCCTGCACCCACGTGGTAGACCCGGAGGAAGCTCCTGGCTCCTGGCTTCAGTTCGGCACAGTTCCGGCCATTGCGGCCAATTGGGGAGTGAACTAGTGGATGGAAGACCTCTCTCTCTCTCTTTCTCTCTCTCTCCCTCCCTCCCTCTCCTCTCTCTGTGTAACTCTGACTTTCAAATAAATAAATAAATCTTAAAAAAAAAAAAAAAAAAAAAAAACCATGAGAATCATTATCCCCAGGGCAGGGCAGGCTTTGGCTTTTTTTTTTTTTTTTTTTAAACATTTATAATTAGAATCTCTGGCCATATTAGCCCAAGTATATTTCTTGGTACATTGTAAATATTGATTCACAAGTCAAGAAACAATGATCATATCTCCTCATACCTAATACACTCTTCCCATTGTCTAACCCACCATCCACCATGTGGTGATGGCAAAGATGGTGGCCAGTTGGAAATCTTGACAGTCATATGTTCCTTTACAGTTGGACCATGCTTTCTCTTTCTCAGATGATTTTTTCTTCTAATAGTCAATCCTTGAAATTCAACGTGTTCATTTTTAGCCTTAGTTTCATGCTTTCTTCATTTGATTGCTGCCTCCAACTCCTATGTCTTCCATTTCATTGTTATGAAGGAGAATATGTGTAGCTAGAATGTAGATATGCTCAACAGACCCTGAGGAGCCTTTGAGATCTGTTTCCCTTCCTCTTTCCTACTCAGATTCCTATATACAAGGCTGCACAGTGTGGCGCTCCTTCAGCAGAGGTCTCAGCCTGGATAGCACCTGGGGCCTGAAGGTGGACAATAATGTGTTCTACAACATTCTAGGCCATGCACTGCTGGTGGGTAAGTGGAACAAGCTTATTTAATTTCTGCATTTTGGAGTAGACACAGTTTTCACAAGAATTCTCCCCAAAGTTTGGCTTTCCAATTTATAAAAACATTGGCCTTCTGACCTTTCGAAATAAGTCATAGTTAAAAGTTCTAAAGTTAAATCTAGTCATCACTGACTGGCTCACTGACCTTTACTCACAGGAAACTGGCCTTTTAAAGGTTCAGCTCAGGTTAATAAATATATAATGGGAGGCTCTTAAATTTACTGCCAGCAATTTTCACAATAATTGAAGTCACATAAATATCTTCACAGATTGTCAAACTTGGATGCTGGCCAATCTCGGATTCTGTTTTTAGCTGCTCTTGTGACTTGCTTGAAAAGTCCAGGATCTTCCAGTTGGTCACCTATGTCTGCTTTCATTAACGCACAAAACCTGTAATTATCTTTAAAATCTCAAATTGTGTCACATGACTCCTCTCTTTAAAATCCTTTAACTGTTTCTTATTGCTTAGAATACATTCCAAAACTTTTAACCTGGCTTAAAAGATTCTTTCAATGATTTTGCTTTCTTAACTTCTGTAAATCTGTCTTGCAATTTTTTTTCATGTCCACTAGTGGCAATACTGATTTCTTTTTAATTCTTTCAAAAGTGCACTCTTTCCCCTGCCTTAGGGCCTTTGCACACGCCCTTTCTCCTCTGTTTATGCCATTCCCTCTTCTTCTACAAGATGCTGTTTCTCAGATCCCCAAGACAAGTCCTACTTTTTAAAATCTTTAAGCACCAGTCAGCACTTCTTGATTTGAAAGTACATGTCACATTTGTGATCATCGGATTAATGTGCTTTTACCACCAGATTTCATGAGGACATTGCTTCCTTAGCACTTTATATATCAATAGGTGCATTGTTGATATATTTATTGAAATGAATGCATGAGTGAGTTAGCAAAGGGTTTCCAGTCCTATCATAACAAAAAAAGCCAATCAGATATTTTCACTGAAAATAAGAATATAACTGTATGTGTTAAATAGGGTAATAAAAATAAATTTACTCTGTGATATCAGTGAGAAAATACATATTTCATTTAGGAAAACTTGTTGAGATAAAAGCTGTTAAAGTTCTAATCCAGAGAGGATAACTGTTGAGTGAGGAAATGGGGATCTTGTATACTTGTTTCAATACGCATGTCTTAGATGCAAAGGACAATTGAGGGGATCAGGCACAGAAAATTCATTTGATTAGTGAAAGACAGCCATAGGCAAGCCAAGCTAACAGGTGTAGGACTGACTTTCTTATTACTGTTGTCTCTGCAATAGAAAAGATGGACCCCAAGCAAAAATTTGAAAGTTGTCCTAATAATATTTATTATCTTAGTAGAAAACAATTACATGACATAGGTATTAACAAGTCAAGGAAGAAAACCTGTGGAGAGAATTTAGCCATTAGTGTTTAAATCTTGTGAATTATTGGTATTGACATCTGATGTATTGCAAATGAAGGGATTAAAATATTTGTTTACTAATACATTATAAAGTACTCAATTTCCATGTAACAGGTTTTCAAACCTAGATCTATGAAATGATGTGGGAAGTCCAGATATCTAAAAACCTAGTAATGAAGAGGTTTGTGGGGTTTCTCCCTAATGATACTACTTAAATAACAAGTCTTTGTAGCATGGGTCATGCTTGCCATTTTATTCCAGCCACAGTGACTTTGCTGTGGTGATCTAGCCTGCTCCTCTCAGATATTCTGGATCTTTCTAGGGGCATGCACGGAGGTGATGGCCAATTTGAACAACCTGGGATGGGACAGACACAAGATATGTGATTCTTAACTGTGGAATAATCATTGTTCTTCTTTACATTTAAAATGAACTTCTGATCTGTGATACTGTAGAGTAAAAAGCCCATGTGATCCTTTTGTCATAGCCTAGTTCATCAATTAAAAACACAAAAAGCAAAAACAAGACAATTTGTACCCAAAGAAGAAAATAGTACTGCAGTGTCCCTTGTGGTCCTGAGTGACTTCAAATGGGCTGAGGTAACATCGTCTTTTTTTCTCAGGGACATACATAAACATAAGACCTATATCTTGGGAGGCTATTCCTGGAAGAAAATATGGTAAATATGTAAATTAATTTTAAATCTATTAAAATCCGTTTAAAATTGTCATACATTTTATACACAAGCCTAATGGCAAAATGTTAAATGTGTTAAATTTTTGAGCATACTAAATGTTTCCTAAATACATATATATATGCATATACTTATATATGAAATATATTTTTGTATTATATAAACTCTGATGTGAATTAGTAGAATCAAGAGTGTTAAGTTGTGTAAATTTTAATGATGTTTATGAATCCACTAGGCTTGATTTCTCTCTTTTTAAATTAGACTGGTCAGAAAAGGGAAATATGATCAGAAACAATGTGATCATCCGTCTTTCTGGTGCCGAGGGACTCTCCAGTTCTGAAATGATGACACCATCTGGCATCTATGTCTGCAGTCCCACCAATGTTATAGAGGTAAGACCTTCAGCTTCACCAGGAAAGTCAGACCTGAAAGGGCATAGCATTCACTCCAGAAGCTCAGGGTTACTACACACAGTACTCATGAAGAAAACAACTTATGACTTTGTGTTAAGTGCTTTAAGATAAATGTAATCATTTCTCTCAGGGTTTCTGTAAATATTCTTTGTAGAAATAGCTATACAGAGAAAAACAAAGTAGACATTGATCATTTCTGGTCATTTACATCAATGCGAATTTAAGCAGCTTCTTGAGTTATCCACTGTGGGTGCTGATTTTTGTCTCTCTTGATTCTGATACCATGCACTTATTAAACCTGCACTGTCTCACTACATTAATGTTGTCATATTGCTACTGCTCTTTAAGAATGCTCAAAACTGAGTACTTAGAGCCGGCGCCGTGGCTCAATAGGCTAATCCTCCGCCTAGCGGCGCCGGCACACTGGGTTCTAGTCCTGGTCAGGGCGCCGGATTCTGTCCCGGTTGTCCCTCTTCCAGGCCAGCTCTCTGCTATGGCCAGGGAGTGCAGTGGAGGATGGCCCAGGTGCTTGGGCCCTGCACCCCATGGGAGACCAGGAAAAGCACCTGGCTCCTGGCTCCTGCCATCGGATCAGCGCGGTGCGCTGGCCGCAGCGCGCAGGCCGCGGCGGCCATTGGAGGGTGAACCAACGGCAAAGGAAGACCTTTCTCTCTCTGTCTCTCTCTCTCACTGTCCACTCTGCCTATCAAAAATAAAAAATAAATAAAAAAATAAAAATAAAAAAATATTTAAAAAAAAAAAAACTGAGTACTGGATATATGAGATCATGCCAGATTCCAAGAGGATGAAGTAACTTTAATGGCCTTGATTTTGTGCCTCACCTTTAATTTTATCTTTGTAAATTTCTGTGTAAACATTTTAAGAAGTTCGTTTTCTTAGGCGCAGTTTAATCATAAATATGTGAATGAGGAATCTCATCAGAGTAATACAAGGCCATATAGTTTCCCCTTTTCCAATTATTTTATTCCATGGATCTGCCATAAAAGGGATTTAGTGCCCATGCCCTCTAGGACACTCCCTGTGAATCCATTGTGCTGTGACAATTGTGCCATGTTTCTAAGGAACTCAGAGGATGAGCGTCTTTGTCACCGATCATCTGTTTTTAATTACCATCAACTGAATAACCTCTAATAAAAGTTGTGGTTATCTCTTCAGCCCTTTTAAGACTCTTAATTATGTTTGTTCCAAGCACAGCACTTACACACCATTTTAGGTGCCTAATGGGGGTAGCTAATACACCAGAGAGGAAAGGAGGCAGAACTGCATGAATTGCAGGAAACCAAACTCTCAGCCAACAAAAACTGGAGCTGCATTTCACTTCTTGGTCAGCACAGGGCTTGTCATACAGCTATGTCAGCAATTTTGGGGGTCTAAGGAGCTATCTTTTTATGTACTTTCTTGAATAGCACAATGTTGATATGAAATGTCCAGAGGGAAGTAAACCCCCAGGGTTTGCCAAGTTCATCTTGCCATGTGAGGCTAGAACATCTTTGCCTCACTGGGTAGATAGTGCATTATCTCCTGGACAAGAGTCCTGGCCACTAACAGAAAAGAGAGTTCAGCTGGCCATAAGGGTAGAGGACCAGAGGGAGCATTCTGAAAAGCTTGAGGGTAGGCATGTGTCACAGCAGGTAGTTGCTGCATGTGACACCTGCATCCCATGTCGGGGTGCCTGGTTCAAGTCTCAGCCACTTAGCTTCTGATCCAATTTCCTGGTAATGTGCATCCTAGAAGGTAACAGAAGATAGTGCAATTACGTGGATCTCTGCCACCCACACAGCAGATCCAGATAGACTTCAGGATCCTGGCTTCAGTCTGGTCCAACCCTGGTTGTTACAAGCATTTGGGGGGTAAACCAGTGGATAGAATTCCTCCCCCCTCCCTCCCTCCATCCCTCCCTTTCTCTGTCCCCCTCTCCTTCCCTCTTTGCCTCCTTCCCTTCCACGTCCTTTCTTCTCCCTGCCTTTCAAATAAAAACATGAAAAGACACCTGAGCCTTTGCAGACTGACATGTGGAATGATGCCCAGGCAGTTTTAGAAAACTGTAGCCAAACTGTTTTCCCCCCTCAAATACTCTCCATCTCCACTCACTTACTTTCTCTCTCTTACATTTGCCTTACAAAGCTGAAAAAAACAAACAATGCATGTGTTTTGAGAATGAGATTTAGGTTAATTAATCGAGTAATCTACAGATTCATTAGGTATATCCCTGATATATTTATCTTTGACGACGTTCAAGTTCTGAAGTTCTGTTTTTGTTAGCTCATGAACTTTTAGACCCTACCATAAGGTTCAAAATAGTCATTGCTCAATTGAAATATATTGAATATAATAAATGAATGTAGATATAATCATACAACCAAAGAACAGGGTGAAGGAGAAGAAGAAAGTATAGATTTCATGATTCCAAAATCATTCGATGACTGAAAAGCAAGAAGTTTAAATCAGTGACAGCACTTAGTCCTGGTGGACTAATCTGTCAGTGTCAAAAAGTTCAATCCAATTTTTCAGCCATGCTACTGGATTTCTGCTCCATTGTGACCTTTGTCTGAAATGTGCCTTCACTAAAGACATAGATGATAGCTCGACTTACATGGGAAAAAGAGTTTCTTTTGATCCATGGGGCAAATGAAGGTCATTTTAGTCATTGGGCCAGTGGTAAGTTAATGGTTATTGAGTGTGTCCTATGTGCATAATACAGAGTATTTTGAAGAAAGTAGTTTAGAAACATCCCTTTATTCCAAAGGGATAATAAGAAAGTGACAGTAATGATAATATGTATACACATATGTGGTGTGTGTGAGAATGTGTAGTATATGAAACATAAAGTAAACCCCCTACCCTCCTTTCTCCTAGAGTTGTTCTAGAGTTAGGACAGAAAGATTCTTTTACTCCAAGGAACTCTTTCACAGGTGGGGGGTTTTATATCCTGCTAAGTGGATGTTCAGGCTTGCACTGAAACTTGTCCCATAAGATAATGCACTCAAGGTTTTTTTTTTTGTCAATATTACTGTAATTTGGATTTTTCTTTGTTGCTATTTTAAACTTTAAATATTGAAATAGTTTCAGATCAATAAGAAGTTATAGAAATTTATGAGTTTCAGTATTAGTTTCCATGTATGACAACCTATTCATCCTATTCGTGGAACAATATCAAAAGCAGGGCTTTGACATTGCTGTGATACTATTAACCAAACAAAATCTTCATTTAGATTTGAAGAAGACAGCCTAATCTTCGTGGCTGGGCAACCAATCCTGAAAGCCTAAAAACTCTCCGTTTCCACATTCATGAGTCTGACCTGTCATCCCTGACCTGGCAAGGGAGCACTGGAAGAGAGCCCTGAGTCTGTGCAGGGATTTGTGGGTTTTGTTTTATTCCTAAATTGCCCTGATCCAGAGCTTAGGACCAAACTCCCAGCAACAATGTAAGGAATTCACCTTTGCTTCCAGTCAGTCACCTTTGTAGTTCAGTCACCTGCAATCCTGCATGGTACAAAGGAATCTTGGGTACAGTATCCCTTATTCATTTTCATAGTCACAAGTAGTCTGCCTCTCTGGGCTGCAGCTGAGCTAAGTCCAGAAACAAATCCTGAGCTTTAAGCCTTCTTGCCTGCAAGGACTCTGGTGTGGTGTCCTGCTGGAGTCTCCAGTGGCTTTGTGGTATCCCTCTGCATAGTCCTTAGGGCTCTGCCATGCTTTCCAACAACAGAGATTCCTGGTGGTTCGTCTTGGTATCACCTGTATCCTTCTTCAACAGCTCAAGCATCTGAGTCTCCAAGTATTCCTGCAGGGGATCCTTATCTACTCTCCAGAGGCTCTGTCTCTCCAGAAGATGGGTCCTATGTGAACCTGTTCTCATTCCTGCAGTCTGCAAAGTCTTTGCTCCCAAACATCTAGAGACTGCTCATTTCCAGAGCTTGAGAGCATCCCATGTTTAGGTAGGCACTAGAAATTTCCCGTGGTCAGACTCCTGTTTAGGATAGTCGGTGGAAAAACTCTGAAGAAGAGCCCTTTGGAGACATGCGTTTAATTTGAGGGGAATTTGTTCTGGTTTGTGAATCAATTTTGTAAGGAACTCTGTGTTTAAAGGCCCAACCTCAGTTCTCCAGCTCTCCCTACTCAATAGGTAATGCATATTTAAGAGCTGCCTGAAGGGTTAACTCACTTTTTTCTAGTAACTATAGATGCACACCTCAAGGAGCTGGCTTACGTGGGCAGTTAATTTTTCTCTGGAATTTCTCTTGCTTGAATGTCCATAATACATTGACTTCCGCATAGAATTGATTTCCACACAAAATTCCCTGCTTGCCTTAAACCCTTCCCCACATGCCGCTGGCTGCCTGCATAAATATGTGGTTTTTCCTCATGAATCGTTTGTCGCATACTCAATTGGAATGGAGAGTGAAAAGGGCTGGGAGTAATGTGAGCCAACTGCTCAAGTGCTTCTTTTATAAGAAAAGTGAGCCTTATTGGCTAATAGAGAACCAAAGTTGCAGTCTTCTGCCCAGGTATAAATGCACTTGGACAGTGTTTATGTCTGTACATGATCACCATGATTCTACATAAATGCTAATGGCACTAGGGCAGACGATTCAACAAATTCATTCATTCACCGAAAATACATGCTTTCCAAGCACTGGTGCTGACAAAGTTGATGATTAAGGATATAGCCCCTGGAATAGAGTTGAAATGCTGGAACCTTTCTCCTCCTTCTAAAGCCTTGGCAGTGAAACAGACATACTTGTCCAGATAAGTGATCACTTTTATCCTCTAGTGCACATTTCTCATTGTTTCTATACTTATAGAAAAGGTGGATGTTTAAGAAGCCCGCATCTCTGATCCTCAGACCCCATCTCAGACCCTTATATGTCTGTGATCTTTCCTGTGAGTCAGAGGTGTTGTAGAGACACAGGTATGCCACAAAGTTTATTTGGAAGGTGTTATGTCATGTGTACTGCCCTTGGAAAGGTTTTATTTATGTAATGAACAACAGGTGTATAATTCTTTTGTTTAACCATGAGGGCTGGAGAGATATATTGGACACTTGTATTTGTCAACTTAAAGACAGTGACTCTTCCCAAGGCTGAGAACCATGAATGCAGATACTGTATTTCCATAAAAGGGAAGAATCAGGGTAATCTATTTAATGCTAATTAAAATATTATTTTGGGGGATGTTTAATATCAGGTTTGATTGTTTTTAAAGGTATAAATTTCTGGCTGGCACTGTGGCATAGTGGTAAAGCCACCACCCACAGTGCCAGCATCCCATATGGGTGCTGTCCTGGTTGCTCCATTTCTGATACAGATCTCTGCTATGGCCTGGGAAAGCAGTGGAAAATGGCTCAAGTCCTTGGACCCCTGCACCCGTGTGGGAGACCCAGAGAAATCCCCTGGCTCTTGGCTTCTGGTTTCAGATCAGTGCAGCTCTGGCCATTGTGGCCATTTGGGGAGCGAACCATCAGATGGAAAATCTCTCTGTCTACCTCTGCCTCTCTGTAACTCTGCCTTTCAAATAAATAAATAAATCTTTAAACAATGTAGGTTGGAAATATGGAATTTGACCAAGTTAGGAGATGGGATGGATGCTGGCAAGTGGGTATGGTTGTTTTGATAATACAGCTGGCTTCAGCGTACCATAGACCTGGATTTCTTAACTATGGCAGTATTGACATTTTGGTAGATAACTCTCTGCTGTGGAGTGGAGCATTGACCCTGATCTCTGTCTATTGAATATCAGTAACACTCTTCTCCTCTAAGTAGTGACAATCAAAAATGTTTCCAGAGATTTCCAGTTGTTCCTGGTAGAGCAAAATAAGTCTTGGTTAACAACAACCTTATTAGACTATATGCTACTTCAAGATCATTGATGTCCTAGAGAGGGCCTGGTTCCCTAAAGCCATGTTAGCATCTTGAGTAGTAATTCAACTTAATAGCCAATGGTAGCAGAAGCCACTTTTGCTAAGGACCATGTGGTAGGCAACTCATGTGATTACAATTTTAAATGGCTCCAGGAAATTGGAGAATTACCCAGAATCCAAATTAATGAAGTGGAGAATGAGAAAATTAGTCCACACACACACACACAAAATTCTGTAACTGAATAAATAATGAGGAATGACTGTGTATTTTCAAATACCCAGTGTAAGAGAGCTTTTGGGCCTCCTTGTGAATAATAAGCTAATATTAAACAAGAAGCATAGACAATTGTGTCAATAGTCACTGACCAGGTCCTGGCCTTTGCCTGCTGGCCAGGCTCCAGTTCTCAGAATAAACTCTGACCTGATTCATGCTGCCTCAGAGACTGAAATGGCCCATTGGGCATTGGTTTCTCCTTCTACATGAAGCAGGGAGTTGAGTGTTGTTGGTTTAAAAATGACCAATGAGGGTACTTCAAAAATTTTGTGAAAGATGGAATTAAAAGGTAGCAGGCATTTTCCAAAATCTTTTTGAAAACCCCTGGTATTTTAGTTTTTTTTTTTCCCCCAATATTGGGCTTTGCTTGGTCCTGTGTGTGTTTCTGTATGTATTCCTTCTGGAACATGTGGTGCCTGCAAAAGGCAATAGGGTATTTAAGTTGCTTTTTATCTGCTGACTATAGGTGCAAATTAAAAGCTTAATTGGACTTTATGCTTCATGAATGTACATGATATATTAACTTCTGCAAAGTATGCTGTTTAGTATATTTTGTCCACTAATGGATAGGCCCAGCAAATGTTTATTCTGCCATTGACTTACGGGCAGGACTTTATTTTGTGTCGACATTCATGTTTCATCACTGCACCCTATTTTTGGCATCCTTATTCTGGGTTCTGTCTTCATGCCTCTACCCTAGGCTATAATCTATGACATTTCCAGGATTGGATTTAGATGGAACTGGCTCTAACCATTATTTGCTTTGTGGCTTTGGGGATGCTACTCAACATCTATGAGCTTCAGTCTCTTTGCTGTGAAATTGTAATAACACATAACTCAATGAATTATTGTAAAAACAAATGAGACTCTAGAATCTGGTTTTTGGATTATAGTGGCTTTCCTCTAAATCTTCACTATGGTTATTATTATATACTTGATCATAACTTAACAAAAGATTAATAATAAAAACAAAGAAAATTATTCAGCATAAACATCACTTGTAGTGAACTAGGAAACTTTTTTCCCAGTAACCTTATAACAAATTTCATCCTGACTTTCTAGGTTTCTGTCCTCTTTCAGTTTTTAGCAGTGACTTCCATTTTCAGTGTGTTTCCAAAGAAACTCATGCCAAGCAAGACACCAGGAGATGGAATCATTCTAGTATCCTTCTCCTCTCTGAACATCTCTTTTGACCCTTGGTAACTAGAAAGTATAGAATTATTTTATCAGTCATCTCTGGAGAAGTTGATCTCATATTGTGGTCAAAAGATCACCTGCAGCAGAACTAGCAGAACACCTTTTAGTACTCAAGAGTGTAGAACACCAGCTCCATCCCTTCACTATCACCTCTACCACCTACTCAGTGAAATCTATAGGTTACATATCCTCAGGGTAGGGTTGCCAGATGGAATATATACAGAACTCCTCATCAAATTTAAATTTCAGTATGGAACACATCCCTTATTGGTATAAGTATACCCCATTCAGGATTTGGAATATACCTATATTAAAAATGAATTTGTTAATATGAAATTTAAATTTTACTGGACATTTTATTTTTATTTGCTACATCTGGCAGTTCTACCATGGGTGCTCGCTGTGTTTTAAGAAACTGTTCTATGAGGATACTTACAGAATAGTCCCCACTAAGCCTTGTTTTTAGACAGGTATTCAATGCCTTATTGGGAGGCTCAGTGTCCTTCCTGCTCCCCTTCTTCTTTTCTGTGCTTTGGTGCCAGTGTTCAGGATGACCTCTCCAAGCCCCATCATGTGTACACCTAAGACCGAGTTACTTACAGTGAGAATACTCTAGGCATCCTTTGTCTCACACAACCAGGCCATGCAAAATCCCCAGGTGACAGGGAACAAGCCATGTAGAAGGCTCTGGGACTTCTTTATCCCCATAGCACAAGTTGTAGGCCTGAGGAAGGTTGAGCAGCCTGTTTCTTGACTTTGATTCTGCAAGTAGTTGTGGACATCTTGGCCTTGGGTCAGGCACTCAGGCTGAGAGAGACAGACATAGGCAAATACATAGGAAGTAGATAGGCATCTTGATCAATAGCCCCTTCATTCCTGCTGCTAAAAGCACCTCCCTACTGCAGCAGCCCAATGGGACTCCCAGTTGTTATCAGAGTTCTGTCCTCCTGATGGTGGAGAGAGGAGAAAGGGCGTGGATTCCTCTGAGATGTGAGAGGGTGCCACTGAGAGGACTTAGATGTAATTTAGGAAAACATAAATAGAAACTTCCCTAAAACAGCCAATACAACATTTGTCTTACTGTCTGGAGTTGAGATATTGCAAATTCAAACACCTACAGGGACTAGGCAGGCATCCAAAGTGAGTGAAGCAGGAAAGGAGGCAACTATGGTAAAATAATCCCTAGTTCAAGAAGGCAGACCCTTATTTCCAGCTGATCAATGGCTACATCACAGGAATCTGGGCTCAGAAAAAGCTGAACATCTGAATGTTTATATGAAGTCTGCTGATATTAAAATATAAGAAACAATAAAATTTGTTAGAAACAAAAAATAAACACTGAAGTGGCCAACAACAATAAATCTGTATATGGTACCAGACCTGTCAGAAAGCCAGTTTTCTAATCTGTCTTACAGTATGTTACATATGATGAACATATTTTAGATACTTGATAATTTCATTGTCCTCAACTTGATCAGAATTAGATCTCAAAACTCTATGGTCCAATGGAAAATTTAGATTTTATGTGGATATGTAAAATACATTAAATTATTTAGATAGTAAGTCCTATAATGAAACGTGTGGGTGATTTAATAATGTAATTAAGACAAATTAATTAAGTACTTTTGGTTGTATTTGAAATCAGCCACTGTGTCTCAGAATTAAGCCATGGCTAGTGCAGTCATGTGACCTTTAACTTATAGCCAAGAAATTGATTTATTCAAAGGAATGGACAGAATATTTTATGTAGCCTTGGCTTCAGGATAGGAAGTATTCAGACAGCTTATGGAACATGCACATATCTTTTAATCCTGGTTTTTCCATGAATTTTGTGAAGTATCCTCATTTGTCTTTTCCTTGGAAAACCACTGTACTCACTACTCACATATTTTTGAAGGCACTGGGGAGATGAGGAGGCATAGATTAGATGTCACAGGTAACCTTCTCACCATGAAGGCTAACAAGGAGGCTTTGACATGAGTTAGTTATTGTGATAAGCAGGTTAAAATCTAGTTGAACTTCCTGGAGGAAGGAGAATGAAGAGTGTTATTTTATTCTAAGAGGGGGATAAAAGAATAAATGGGTCCAAAATAGTTTCAGTATACCTCTCCATAAGTGAATAAGAAAGTAGAATGGCCATAAATGAGAACCTTTCTTTCCATGAACATTATCATATACGGAATAACTATTTATAAACTGTCTTTAAATTCTGCAGGGAAACAGAGTATGTGCTGCTGGTTATGGCTATTTTTTCCATCTTGTGACCAAGCGAACATCACAAGCTCCACTTCTCTCCTTTTCTCAGAATGTTGCACATTCTTGTACAAGGTAACTTTGGGGAAATTCATCTCTATTCTGAATATAAGGCTTATGAGTTAGAATTTTTCTCTCAAGTACTCACAAAGAAGGTGTAGCTTTTGGCATTTGTTATATAGTCTCTATATATTGTTATAGAGAGCTTTTTGTTTATCAATCATATTTATTTTAATGTACACAACTTAATAAAATTTGGAGATAAGTATATACCCATGAAACCATCACTAAAATCCAAGATAAAAGCATGTTTCTTGGTTCTAAAAGTTTTCCTCAAGACCTCTTTATTTTAGTAAGAACTCTTGACATGATATTTAATCTGTACATTTTTAGGTATTGTTAAGTATAAACATTATACTGTATAGATCTCTAAGATTATTCATGTTTTAATTCTAAACCTAATATCCTTTATCTAATACTTCTTGATTTCCACCCACTTCCTCAGCCCCCAGTTCCTAGAAACCCATTCTAATCTATGCTTCTATGAGTTTGGGTATTTTAGATTTCTTATAAAAGTGATATCCCGTAGCATTTACTCTTCTGTGCATGGCTCAGCTCATTCGTTATAATATTCCCCAAATTCACCTATATTAAAAGAAATATCAGAATTGTCATTTTCTTTAAGGCTGAAATATTATATTGTAAGTAAATACCAAATTTTCTGCATCTACTCATCTGTCCATGGACACCTAGGTTGCCTTCATATCTTGGTTACTTTGAAATAATTGTAGGCATTTTTGATTATAAAACTTTAGTAGTGAAAGGTGTCACTTAAGAAGGTAGCAAGATAGAGTGTACCTTTTGGGACCAGAGAGAATTCAAGAGGGAGAGAAGTTAAACTTCCCTGAGATTAAGACTGGCTGACAGAGCCTCTGAGACACTGGTGGGCCTGACTCAGGAGCAGAGAGATGGCTTTGGAGAAAGGCTCCTTGCCTGTGACTTGCTCTCTGTAAAATGAGAAGAGATTTGTTGAAAATCATTGCTTTGTAGAGGGCAAAGCTATCTTCTAAGAACAAGAGCACAGAGAAACAATGTGGGGTCGGAGATTTGGAAAGCATGGGATAATGCCAACTCTGGAGTTACTCAGGCCCTGATTCAAATCCTGACTCTACTCTTAATAAATTCTTGGAAAGCACCAGGAATATAGTAGGTATAAATTATTGAAAACTATAAATAATAATAATAATAATATTAGTAATTCTGCTATGATGAAAAGTGAGAAGAGGAATGGAATAAAGATTGGGAATAATTCCTAAGCAATGGTGAAGTCCCAAGTGAGACTGGGGGTTAGTATTTGTTTAATGATATTATTAATGACAATGAAAGTTTTATATAGTGGCCCTTGGGTAAAGGAAGAAAGTATCCAGGGTATTGCAATTGTAGGACAATTTAGGCAAGAAAAGTTGAAGGAATGACATATGCTGGTATCATTCTCCTACGAAGGAATGGATTTAAAGGTGCTGATAGAATAACAGGGTCCATGTCCCGGAGGGCTAGGCAAAGGTCAGCAGATTAAGTGATAAACCTAGAGGTGGCTGGTAGAACAGCAGGGAATCATAACAACCCCAAGGCCCAGAGCAAGTCACGGAGGTTAACACAGTAAAACGGCTGAGATGGGAAGCCACAGTCATAGATGATGACCACAGATATTATCTATCTCCAGTCTCCTGTATTAATTATTTTATATCTGAAATGGAGTTAATATCTAGAAAAATAAATAATAAATTAATAATAAACTAAATAATAAAATAAATAAAATAATAAACTCAACAACTCAATAACAAAAAAATGCCATATAACCCAATTAAAACTGGGTGATAGACCAAATAGACATTTATCAAAAGAGAATACCTAAATGGTTAAGAAATATATTTAAATATGCTCAACATGACTATCACACACAATAGAATGGCTAATATGAAATACATGAACTTTGCTCACCTTAGGTAAGTAAAAATTCTTTTAAAAAGATCAAAAAATTAACAAATACTGAGAAGATGTAGAAAAACTTTGGCAGAGAGAATATAAACTGAGACAACCTTTAAAAAAATAGAATGAAGTTTCCTCAAAAATTTAGGAGTAGAACTGTGATGCCATAGTCTCACTAAATGTTTTATACCCAAAGGAAATGAAATCAGTATGTTGAAGAGATATCTGCACTTCCATGTTTATTGCAGCACTATTCATAGTAACCAAGAAATAAAGACAATCTAAGTGTCCATCAACTAACTTATGGACAAAGAAATATTCTCTTTCCCTCTCTCTCTCTTTCAAACACACACACAGAGATGCACATATGCACATGGTGAAATACTATTTAGTCACAAAAAGATGAAATCTGGTCATTTGTGCTTGATGCAACTGGAAGACATTATGCCAAGTGAAACAAGCCAGATACATAAAGACAATTAATATATGATCTCACTTTTATGTGGACCCCTACAATTATTGATCTCATAAAAATCATTATAATAATAGTGGTTAACAGAGGCTGAGGAGAGTAGGAAAGAGGGAGGAGAGGGTTGGGAAATGTGGATCAGCAATGTTAACTTACATAGGAGAAATAATTTCTGGTGTTCTATTTCACAGTAGGATGAATATGGATAATAATGTATTGCATATTTCAGAAAAAGCTAGACAGTTTTGCATGTTGTTACCACTAAGAAATGATAAATGTGTGAAGAATTAAACATGCTCACCATGATCTGAATATTACACAATGGTAACTATCAAAACATCACACAGTACCCCATAAATATGTACAATTATTATGTGCCAATTAAAAAGTAAAAAAATGTGGTAAAATATTTTGTATTTTCTAATGAGAAAAAGTTAGGAGTTGGAAACATAGAAATTGGCTCATTTCATTCTTTCATTACCTTTCTAGGTGTGGTCTGTTTGTGTATCCTGAATTTCAGCCACCTTGGGATAATGGATCTGGTCCTACCCTGTTCCAAAACTTCACAGTTTGGGGAAGTGCAGGTGGTGTCCAAGTGAGTTTCTTTAGCTTTTCTTTTTAAAATAAAAGCTGTCATTTTCTTTCCCATGGCCATTTATTATTCATCTCTATTTCAATAAGGACAATGTAGCATTACAGCAGAATCCCAGTTTTAAAGAGCCAGTGACATCTGAAGTGTGTGTGGAATAGTTGTTGAATGAACAAACTCTTAGCTAGTAATCCAGGGGTAGATCATTTCCTCTTGTGGTGACTTTCTGACAACTGTAATAGAGAACAATAGGATCACATACAACCAAGAGGGAACATATAGGTGCACCCATTGTTTCCTTCTTATCCCTCCTTAGAAATAAGAAATAAAGGCTCAGAAAATAAAGGGACTTATTGAAGATCATACAGATTGGTAACACAATTAGGTACAAATCCCAACTTCAAATATTATGCATTTGATACCCTAATATCCTGAATAATACATGTGTCAATCTTAAGACAAAGCACTGTTCAACATTGGAATACAACATGCCAATGCCATTCTTGCTTACCTGAAAAAAAAATCATGTTTAATCATTTAATTTTCATTATCACAATAATTTTCTTATAAGGAAGATTTTCTTGCTCATTAACAACAATAGATAAAAATTATTCAGAGAGACTGTTTAATGAAATTCTGCTTCTGAATTAATTTTTTTTAGATTCCACATATAAGTGACATCACATGGAATTTGGTTTTCTGTGTGTGGCTGAACAACACAATATCCTCCAGGTTCATCACTGTCATGGCAAATGACGAGATTTGCTTCTTCTTGGAAGGATAAATAATACCCATTGCATATATATGAATATTCTACATTTTCTTTGTCCTTTCATCAGTCGATGAACACTTAGGTTGATTTGTCTTGACTAATTTAATAATGCTGCAATGAACCTGAGAGTTCAGAATTCTCTTTAGCATAATGATTTCATTTCTTTTGGATATACCTAGTAGTGGAACTTCTGAAGCATATGGTAGTTTTATTTATAATTTTTGAGGAAGTAAATAATCATCTAATCTCAAAATGTCAATTTTGCTAGTATGCATTACTTTTTTCATAATCTATTAGTTACCACAGATCAGGGAAAGCATATTATATTTTTCTTTTTGGGACTGGCTTATTTCACTAAATATAATGGTTTTCAGTTGTGTACATTTTGTTGCAAAAGACAGGATTTCATTCTCTTTTATGACTGAGTAGTACTCCATAGAGTATTTATACCACATTTTCTTTATCCAGTCATCAGTTGATGGACATCTGGGTTGATTCCATATCTTAGCTATTGTGAATTGAGCTACAGTAAACATGGGGGTACACAAAAGACTTTCATATGCCGATTTCATTTCCTTTGGGTAAATTCCCAGGAGTGAGATGGCTGGGTCATGTGGTGGATCTATTTTCATATTTCTGAGTATCTCCATACAGTCTTCTACAATGTGATAGTTTACATTCCTACCAACAGTGGAATAGAGTACCCTTTTCATCACATACTTGCCCTCATTTGTTTGTTGATTTCTGTATGAGAGCCATTCTAACTGGGGTGAATTGAAACCTCATTATATACTTTTTTCATTTCCTTGATGGCTAGTGATCCTGAGCATTTGTTCATGTGTCTGCTGGCCATTTGAATTTCCTCTTTTGAAAAATGCCCATTCAAGTCCTTTGCCCCTTTCTTAACTGGATTGTTTTTTTGTTGTTGTTGAGTTTCTTGAACTTTTTGTAGATTCTGGATATTTATCCTTTATCAGTTGCATAGTTTGAAAAATTTTCTTTCATTATATCTGTTGCCTTTTTACTTTGTTCAGTGTTTCCTTTGCAGATCAGAAGCTTTTTAGCTTGATATAATGCCATTTGTCTATAGTTGCTTTTATTGCTTGTGCTTCTGGGTTTTTTTCCAAGAAGTCTTTGCTCATTCCAATGTCTTGTAGTTTCCCCAATGTTCTCCTAAAGTAATTTGATTGTGTCATGTCATAGATTTAGATCCCTTATCCATTTTGAGTGCATTTTTTGGTAAGGTTTAAGGTAGGGGTCTTGTTTCATACTTCTACACGTGGAGATCTGATTTTTCCAGCACCATTTGTTGATGAGACTGTCCAAACCCCAGTGATTGATTTTATATCCTTTGTTGAAGATTAGTTGGTAGGTTGATTTATGGAGTTTCTATTCTGTTGCATTGGTCTACATGTTTATTTTTGTGCCAGTACCAGGCTGTTTTGGATATAACTGCCCTGTGGTATGTTTTGAAAGCTAACATTGTGATGCCTCCAGCTTTGTTTTTGTTGTTTAAGATTGCTATAGGTTTTCAGGTTCTTTTATGTTTCCATATGAAATTTAGTATCTTCTTTTTCTACATTTGAGAAGAATGTCATTGGCATTTTGAATGGGATCACATTGAATCTGTAAATTGTTTTCCATAATATGGATGTTTTGGAAGCTTCATTCTGTTACCCATAATGTCTGTACTAATTTAATTTCCACCAATTGTGCACAAGGCTGCCCTTCTTTCTGTATTCTTTCCTGTACTTACCTTTTGTCTTTTGGATAATACAGTGATGTATCTTTGTGGCTTTCATTTGCTTTTCCCTGATGATTAGTGATATTGGACAGAAAATTCCTATTGTATATGAATTTGCATTTAGAGTTTGAGAATCCCTAATCTGAAAATCTGAAATCCAAAACTTTTTGAATATTGGTGTAAATCCATAAGTTGAATATTACATACCTTGTACACTAAGATATGTATGAAATTATCTTCATCGTGCTTAAGATTTATATGAAACGTAAGTGTAATTTATGCTTAGCCATCTTTCCATCCCCAAGAAATTTCACTATGGATGTGCAAATATTCCAAAAGTTAAAAAAACTCTAAAATCTAAAGTATTTCTGGTTCCAGACATTTGAATAAGAGATACTCAACCTGTATCTATTTGAAGGTATTGATAACTAATACTTTACATTTTCTCACTTAACAATCTTGGACTCTGTGTAGGAGGTATGCCATTATTGTATTCCATTTGTAGATTACACTATCTAGGGAAATGAATTACTTGCTGATGTCATTTGATAAGGCTATTTGGCCCTTCTGTTTATGGTTAAGAGTTGAGAAAAATGATCTTTGCCATGTCTCATAAATGCAGAGTGATTCTTTTAGAAGAGAGTAAAATGAGAACCCACTTTTAAAGTTGTATTTATGACAAAAATAGATACATTTCACTACCATATGTTGGTTTCCCTTTAAAAGCAGCTTCCACGGCTAATGTTATTTTTTAGGGTGAGTATATTTGTATATCAGTGTATTGGAGGATCTCTGTAATTAAGCAACAACTGTAAGGGAAACTTCAAAAAATTGAGGAAACTTGAATTAAAAGAATGTTTATTTTGGTGCCTCAAATTTTTGAAATCCATACATAGGATTTTCATAATACATATTTTTTGTTAACTTTAGGAAGGCTTCTTGTATACATTAATCTAAAAAATTGATATCAAAGTGAAATTCCCTTTTAATTCCATTTTTTTGTTTTGTCAGGCAGAGTCAGACAGTGAGAGAGAAAAACAGAGAGAAAGGTCTTCTTTCCATTGGTTCATCCCCAAAATGGCCGCTACAGCCAGCACGCTGCGCTGATCCAAAGCCAGGAGCCAGGTGCTTCCTCATGGTCTCCCATGTGGGTGCAGGGCCCAAGCACCTGGGCCATCCTCCACTGCCTTCCCAGGCCACAGCAGAGAGCTGGACTGGAAGAGGAGCAATGGGGACAGAATCCGGCACCCCAACCGGACTAGAACCTGGGGTGCCGGTGCCGCAGGCAAAGGATTAGCCAAGTGAGCCATGGTGCTGGCCATTGTTATCAAATTCTTGTTCTCAAGTTATCATTTTATACAATATCTTTTTTTTTCAAATTAATATCTAGGTCTACTACTGAACTATCATTTTATGAACTATTTAAAAATAACATTTATAAGCTCTTTTTATGAATGTTTAGTTCCATACATATGGAAAATATAAACTATTAAATTCTTGAAAATTCAAAGATCAACTAACATATAAAATTAAAAAAGTATGATAAATTGATGATGCCTTGGTCTTACTTAACGGAAGACTTCAAGGTAAAGGTCTAAATGGAAACATGGCTTAATTCAGTAGATTTTTGTTTTGTTAACTGCTAGCTCTGACCTTCACAATGATATATAAAATAGTTTAAGAGAGTCCTAGGGAAAGTTAGATGTGTTGCTTTAGACTACCAGAGCTAAGTGAAAACCAAGAACCGTGTATACTAGACCACTGGGATTCTTTCAGCTCTACTAGTTAACTTTGTTATTATTTGACCCCTGTATATGCTTCCAAATATATGTATACACACACACACACACACACACACACACCCAACATCATTGAGTCCACACAGATGAATATGTAGTCATGCTGAATGATGTACTCTTCTTTGAAAACTTCTTTAGATACAGTTAATATACACTATGCTGAGGGAAATAATAAGCACAGTTCTTGAATGTTGTATTTCCCTCCACTAATTTTGTGTGATTGGCCACTGACTATTTTACACATATTGAGAATTCATCTTTTTAATGTATTGGTTATTATGGAGATGAATGAAAAATACAGAGGTGGTGTTACCAAAGGGGCTAGTTAGTGTTGACCTTATGGCAACTTTGGTATGCATGTACTGATATTGATGGACATAAGCTACTTAAATATTTTATAGCATTCAATTTATACTTAATAATTAAAGAAGTCAGAAGTCTGTAAGAATCACCAAGTTTCAGACTTTCGCTTTTATTTTATAGATTTTTAGAAGTAGTAACCTTCACCTGAAGAACCTCCAAGTGTATGAATGCAGAGATTTTGGAATAGACATCTTGGAAAGTGATGCAAATACTTCAGTTACTGACAGCTTGTTAGTGGGTCATTTTACACACAAGGTAAGTGCCTTATTGCGGTTATCTTAGGCTGTCCAGCAAAACAGAATCATATGTGCTAAGCTGCTTGATGATGTATGATATACAATTCTAATAGCATTCTTTGGTGAATCTTGATGTAAGTTGTAAAAGTTAAAGGGGCTTTTTATTAGTAACAGTGATGATATTATTAATAAAATTCAAATAGTATCAGGGTTTCAATGTTATGAAAGCATATAAATTATAAAGATCATGGGTAATTCATAGAAGTTTTATTTGGTTGCAATTTAGAATTGTTATTCATACAGATGCAATAACAAACCTAATAATTTATCTTAAACTAAGGATTGTGAAATAGCATGATTCCATCTTATTTCTCAGCTCTATAGTTTGCCAAATTTCTACATCATCATTTGTTCAGAGTCCTTCCTCCAATTAGACTATACTTCAAATTGGGTCATATAAATTTACATGGTGTATTGCAGTATATTGAGATTTTCTATGTGATTCCCTAATACTTGCCTAAGTGCAGGTTTCTCTCTGATAAAAATCAGACTGAAGATGACTTCACCATTGCATGGTCAGGGTACCAACTCCCTAGCTGAGAAACCCTAGTTGTCTTTCAGGGAGGTCCGTGGCTACTATTGGTCTCTTAGGATTCAGATCTGTGGTGGCTTCCTTGGGTTCTTGTTTTCATAAAAATAGCATGTATGTGAATAATCACATTGTTGTGAAAATCATATATGGAAGAGACCTACAGTATTCCTGAATGCATTGTCCAATTGAAATATACCTATTGACATTTATGCTTTTATTGGACATTATAGCTACAGATATATACTAAGAGTTAAAAACAATTTATTAATCACCCTCATTTTCCTATATTTAGTTTTCTTATTTAAATCTCTTTTTAAAAATATGAGAGAGAGAGAGAGAGAGAGAGAGAGAGATTGAGATTGAGATTCTATCTAGTAGTTTATTTCCTAAACATCTGCAATGACCAGGCTGGGCTGGGGAGCCAGAGCCAGGAGCTGGGAACCTACTACTGCCTTCCTGGGTGGGGATAAGAGCAATAAGCTGGAGTAAAGATCTGGAACTGGGAAATGAACCCATGCATTTCAATGTGGGACATGCGAATCTGATGTATCCACCACTAGGCTGAACACCCACTCCTAAATCTCTTTTGAATCATCATTTTCAGGAGTTTCATACTTGACAGTTCTTACTTTCCTCCCAAGGATTACCACCTGGAAGGTTAATTCAGACTCTGTATATTCCAAGTTTCCAAGATAGGATAGCACCTAGCATGTTTCTGTGATGCTGGTAGATCCAAAGCCTTAACATTTCCCAGAAAAACTTGAGTGTAGATTCTAAAAACAAAATGCTCCTCAAACTGTGTAACCAACTGTCCTGGTAAATTAGTGTTGCAGTGTCTTAATTGATGTTAAATAGACATCACAACTAATGGGAGAGTGACATTAATTAAATTATAAATTATGACAAAAGGGTACTTATCATGAGAAAATCAAAAATAATCATACCCCTGGGGTGTGAGTTACCAGGAATGCAGTGTAGCTGAGGGCCTTTCTTTAAGAGTCCCCTAATAGAAAATATTAAATAGTTTTGTTCTAGGTGTCTCAATGCTGATTTGTCACCCAAATATTAAGACCAGGCAGTTTCAGAGTTAATTGTTACCTAAGAGATGATCTAGTTAGAACACTTTAATTTATAGATACGGAAATGGAAGTTTTGGAAAGTCTAATGTTAACTCAAGATTGATTCCTAGTTTTATGGAACTAGGACCACGACTGGCTTCAGACTCTTGGAAAATGACTAAATGGCTTTGGCAGTGGACATTTGTTGGTGCCTTTGGCAGTATTCCTTGAAGTACTATTCATGAAAGGCTAGCCCCAAAAGAGTGTGTGGGAAAAGAAATTCATTGGATAATTACATTTAGACTGAGCTGTTTACTATACCCTCTATTCCTCAAAATCTCCAGCACTTCTGGAGATCTAATGTATAACATAAGAAGTGTAGTTAATAAAATTATATATAAAATATATATATTTTATAAAATATATTATATATATATAAAATATATGTTTTAGCTACTATAGTCACACCCATAAAATAATCACAATGTGAGATTACAGATCTGTCAACTTGTTTCCATATAATAACTATTTTACTATCTGTATGTGACTTATAACATCATGTTTTAAACCTCAAATATACACAGTAAAATTTGTAAAACCAAGCAACAAAAATATTAAAGGATCTGAGAAATTCTAGTGTTAAAATAAACAAAGAATAAAATTATCCATATTATTTTCAGATTTATGTGGTAACCAATTAATTGCCATTTGTCAGTTTAAGAAGAAAATTCCTAACCTCTCTGTGCAATTATGATTTTAGTCTTTATCTTTGTGCTGTGCATTTAGATATCTTTATCTTTTATGCTGTGGTTTTAAAAATCAAGATTTTTAGAGAATTCAGCTTATCTGTTCATAGACCACCCATCCGCATGTAATTAGTAGTATAAAATGATCAGTTTAAGTCATATCCTAAAACAAACATCTGTTTCTGGAAGAATTTTTTTGTAATTGGATGATATTTCTTTTTCCTATAAACTTACTTGTATATATGTTGATACTCTTATTCTCAATATTACCTTTACGTCACTACAGATAGAAAAGTTTTCAGTGAGGATAGTTTTATTGAGAAGAAACGCAATACAGCATTTCTGTATATCCAGGTTTATTGGGCAGTATGTTTAAATCTGTTTTCCCAGAATTCCATCTAAATAGTGACTCCCTTCACACTCAAAAATATCCTGGTACCAAACATGAAATGGTTAATAAAATCTAGCAAAATGAACTCAAAAATACATTTACTCAATGCCAGACACATATAATTCAGATTTAGTTTTTAGCCACACGGATTCATTCTGTGGCTTTTATTTAAAAGTTGGAAAAAGAATTTTCACATATTGGAGTGTTTCACATATTGGAGTACTGTCTGAATTGAGGGATTACAAATTCAATTTATATTTTTGGGAAGAGTTTTAAAAGGAGTGTGAACATCAGCAGATTCTCTAATCTGACGGCCAGGACTGCAGAAGTGTATCATCCCTCACTGTGTAGACCTAAATAGCTTCTATACCTGAGGACAGGTCAGGAAGTCATTTTGGAACAGTGGAATTTTTTTAGAGTGGAGTAGGTGGGTAGAGTATGTCAAGTGGACAGATAAAGGATTGACACATTTAGCAGATCCTTTTTAAAATAATTCTGTCAGTTCTTTCTTGTGTGTTACCTCTACAAAGTAAATTATACATTTAGTTTTTAGTGACTTTTTTTATTTTTATTTATTTTTTTGACAGGCAGAGTGGACAGTGAGAGAGAAAGAGACAGAGAGAAAGGTCTTCCTTTTGCCGTTGGTTCACCCTCCAATGGCCGCCGCGGCCAGCGCGCTGCGGCCAGCGCACCGCGCTGATCCGAAGGCAGGAGCCAGGTACTTCTCCTGGTCTCCCATGTGGGTGCAGGGCCCAAGCACTTGGGCCATCCTCCACTGCACTCCCTGGCCACAGCAGAGAGCTGGCCTGGAAGAGGGGCAACCGGGACAGAATCCGGCGCCCCTACCGGGACTAGAACCCGGTGTGCCGGCGCCACAAGGCGGAGGATTAGCCTAGTGAGCTGCGGCACCGGCCAGTTTTTAGTGACTTTTAAAGTGTTAGTAGTAAGGAGAAGGATTTGAATATCAAACTTGTTTAGTTTTGATGATTTAACCTTTCTTTATGAAGAGTTAATTGAGTTATTGATACTGTGAAACATATTCATTTGATTTTGATATTTGTACTTGAGCAAATTTTTTTGCTATTTAATATTCTACTTGAACAAATTTAAATATTCAGCCACGTATGTAACCTTCCCCCACCCCCTACTAAGGAACATTAAGACTTGCCAGAGATAAGGTATACCTGATATGTCAGTTGTGAAATCCAGCACCTGTTAAATTTCACTTCTGGAATGGAATTTATATACATGTATTAGTACTTGCAATCTGAGGGAAGTCTTGAAGTTTTGATATTTCCCAGAGGTCAAGGGTAGAGGGAAACATTCTTCAATGTCTTATGTAGGTTATTATGACTATTAAAAATGTAGTCTGTAGCACAATTGTGCCAATACTGGTTTTGTGACTATAATCCTAGGCACGTAGAACCAGGGCCTCTAACCCACACAGGCAGAAAGCTGCATGGTGTATCCCAACAAATACCAGTTTGTCTGGTATCGTTCGAGCCTTGCTCTGTTGAGGGGACTGTCAACCGAACATTATGTCTGCTGTAACTTTGATGAACATTCCATTTTTTGTTATTTATTACTAGTATCTCTATTAAAGTACCATTGTAACAAAAAAATCTTGATTTGGGTTTAAATTATGGTCACCTTGCTTTTGGAGATATCTGCAGGATGAATGTGTTTTTGTTGTTATTGTCATTAACTTGAGCAGATGCTGCTACTTTAAAAATACCGTATTCAGACCAACAAATGTGAGATTGCCTCATTCTTCCTCCCGTCTCTGAAGAGGTGATATTCCATTTTCACTTGTGGATATGTCTTGCTAAATTTAAACCTTTCATCATTTTGTTTCTCTAAATTCTATTGTAGCATCCCTTTTCTTCTCAGTATTCTTGCTCTCCCTGGGAGAAATCTCATTTTCTCTAGTGGTTTCAATAACCATCCACATGCTGATGTCTCACATAGGTTTGCATTTATTTTTACTATCTTATTTTGTGCTTTCAGTCTCCAATTCATTTTCTTTCTTACTTTTTAAAATTTTTTCCTAACTTGATTTTTGCTTGCATTGCATAGTATATTTGGTAGTTCCTCATTTAAAAGTCATTCATTTTGTTCTGATTGATTTGATTTTGATCTTAAATTTTTAACATGCCTCTTGTCTTAACAAAACATCAGCTGTTAAATTTTACCAGAGCCACAAAGGACATTAAACTTCTTTAACTTCTTGCTTTACTTTCCTATCTTTTATGATAATTTTCTCTAGTATTTGGTCTCTTTTTAAAGTAAATTTTTTTAAAGATTTATTTATTTCTTCGAAATTCAGAGTTACACAGAGAGAGGAGAGGCAGAGAAAGAGAGAGAGAGAGAGAGAGATCTCCCATCCAATGGTTCACTCCCCAGTTGGCCGCAACGGCCGGAACTGCGCAGATCCGGACCCAGGAGCCAGGAGCTTCCTCCGGGTCTACCACATGGGTGCAGGGGCCCAAGGACTTGGGCCATCTTTTTACTGCTTTCCCAGGCCACAGCAGAGAGTTGGATTGGAAGTGGAGCAGCCGGTACTAGAACCGGTTCCCATATGGGATGCTGGCACTTCAGGCCAGGGCATTAACCCACTGCACCACAGCACCAGCCCCTAAAGTGCATGTTTTAAGGTGAGATAACATTTATGGAGAAAAGTACACACACCAAAAGAGGCAAGCTTACTGGATTTTTATAAGGCAAATCAAGCATGTGTATATCACCACATGAACTAGGGCATGACCAGTTTCACCCCTTCAAGGACCCTTCTGTTCAACCCACCCCACAACTCCCTAGGCAAAGGAGAGGTATTGTTCAGACCGTTATGAACGTTAATAACTTTCTTTTGCTTTTGAACTTTTATGATTGGAATCATATGGAATGTAACTATTGTATGTTTCTACTTTGGGACAACATTGTGAGATTCACCCATTTTTTGTGTGTGTTACAATAATTTATTCTAATAATTTATGTAGTATTCCATGTCATGCCTGTTTTATTATTTCATTATTTTGCTTTTGATGTTTATTTCCAATTTTTAGTTATTATAAATAATGCTATTAAGCACATTCTTTGATAAGTCTCTTGGTGTTCATATGCATATTTTTCTGTTGAACAAATGGCAACTTGTAACATGTCTGAGTCACAGGATACTCCTTTAGCTTTAGTGGGTAGTGTCCAGCAACAGCCCAAGATGTTGACTCCTGCACCTGCAGATATGAGAATAATTTCATAGCTATATTGTGAACTCTCTCTCGGCCAGTATCCTGGAGATTTCCTTCCTGTCAGTAGTATTGAAATTCCTACTCCTGATTTCCATGTTTTCCTCCTTCTAGTCTAATTTCCCATTTGGTTAGAGTATAGCCTAAAGTAATTTTCTGAAAAAATGACCAACTATGGACGGTAAAGTTTTTGAGCTACATCTGGGGACCCTTTATTGATAGGTTATGGTTATGGAAGACTGGGTTACAGTTCACTTTGCCTTGAAATTCTGAAGGCAATATTCCATTGTATTCTAGTTTCTAGTATTGAGGATGAATAATTTTGAGACACTCTGATTCTGAGTCTCTAGGCAACCTTTTGTATTTTTTCTCCTGGAGAGCTCTGAGTTCCTTGTCCTTTCCCATGGTGTTTCACAATTTCAACATGATGTACCTTGGTCTGACTTTGTTCTAATAAAAATGTTTTTAAGAGCTGGATGTGAACTTCAGTCTGGAAAAGTATATCTTTCCTTTCTGGTACGTTTTATTCAAGTATTTCTTTGGTAATTCTCTCTTATAATTTTCTCTTTTCTATTTCAAATATTATTTGGATAGTGGACTTGTGGGTTTGTATTCCTAATATTCTTTGCTTCTTCTGAATTTCCATATTTTTGTTATTGTGTTCTACTTTCCTGTGTATTTCTTCAATTTTTTTCCTATTGAATTTCTTATTTCTGCTCTTCTAGATGTATTACCTTTTTCTTTTTTGAAAATCCCATTTTAGACTTCCTTTTGTTTCATGGATATAATATGCTTGTTTCTCTAAGATTGGTGAAGATTGTGTTTAAGTTGTGTAAGTTTTCTTCTGATTCCTTTATTACATTTTATCCACTGGTTCTGTTTTCTGTTGTTTGTCTTTTTTTTTTTTTTTTTAAAGATTTTATTTAGGCTGGTGCCATGGCTCACTAGGCTAATCCTCTGCCTGCGGCACCAGCAACCCAGGTTCTAGTCCTGGTTGGGGCGCTGGATTCTGTCCCGGTTGCTCCTCTTCCAGTCCAGCTCTCTGCTATGGCCCGGGAGTGCAGTGGAGGATGGCCCAGGTCCTTGGGCCCTGTACCCGCATGGGAGACCAGGAGGGAGCACCTGGCTCCTGGCTTTGGATGGGTGCAGCGCGCCGGTCGCAATGCGCCGACCAAGGCGACCACTTTGGGGGTGAGCCAACAGAAAAAGGAAGACCTTTCTCTCTGTCTCTCTCTCTCTCACTGTCTAACTCTGCCTGTCAAAAATAAAAATTAAAATAAATAAAATAAAAAAAGATTTTATTTATTGGGACTGGCGCAGTGACGCAGCAAGTTAACGCCCTGGCCTGAAGCACTGGCATCCCATATGGGTGCCAGTTCTAGTCCTGGCTGTTCCTCTTCCAATCCAGCTCTCTGCTGTGGCCTGGGATAGCAGTGGAAGATGGCCCAAGTCCTTGGGCCCCTGCACCCACGTGGTAGACCCGGAGGAAACTCCTGGCTCCTGGGTCCGGATCGGCGCAGTTCCGGCTGTTGCAGCCAATTGGGAAGTGAACCATTGGATGGGAGATCTCTCTCACTCTCTCTCTCTCTCTGCCTCTCCTCTCTATGTGTAACTCTGACTCTCAAGTAAAAAATAATAAATCTTTTTTAAAATATAAAGATTTTATTTATTTATTTGAGAGGTAGAGTTACACAGTGAGAGGGAGAGACAGAGAAAAAAAAGTCTTCCTTCTGTTGGTTCGCTTCCCAAATGGCCACAAAGGCTGGAGCTGTGCTGATCCGAAGCCAGGAGCCAGGAGCTTCTTCCGGGTCTCCCATGTGGGTACAGGGGCCCAAGCACTTGGGCCATCTTCTACTGCTTTCCCTGGCCATAGCAGAGAGCTGGATTGGAAGAGGAGCAGCCGGGACTAGAACCGGCGACCATATGGGATGCCAGCGCTGCAGGTAGAGGATTAACCTACTGTACCACGGTGCTGGCCCCTGGTTGTCTTTTTTTGTCCCTGTTTTTTATATCAGAGGCTCTGGTACAAATTCTGGTGTTCCTCAAATGAACAAATAGTTTTAACAGTGAAGCCCTAACAATTTGCATGGAATCTGTTGAAAAAATTTAGTGGAAAATTAAGCTGGAAGCAGTTTTTGTTTCTTTTTAGGATTTGCTAAACATGCTTTTTTTATGTTAAGTACAATAAAACTAACTTTTCTTATCTTTGTCTCTGAACTTGAGCACAGTTGTGAAGCTATAGAACCACCACCACTACAATCAATTTCAGCATAGTTGCATCAATCCTAAATCCCTCATGTTCCATCTTCATATTCCAAAACCTTCTCTTCTAATATCTGACAATCTCTGATCTATTCTCTACACTATAGTTTTGTCTTTTGTCACAATGATATAAATGAAACCATGAATCACTTTTTGAGACTGGCTCTTGCTTCCACATGACAAGTTTGGGATTTATCCAACTTGTTGCATATATAAGTATTTTTTTCTTTGTTATTGCTGAGTATTATTGTACTACAGGGGTATAAATAGTTTGTTTATCTATGGGACATTTGAATGGCCTCCAGATTTAGCGATTACAAACAATTTGGGTAAGGATTTTTATGAATCCAAGTTTTCATTTCTGTAAGATAAATATGTAGGAGCTGAATTGCTAGATTACATTATAAGAGTATATTTAAGTGTTTGAGAAATTGCTATATTGTTTTCTAAAAGGGCTGTCCCATTTTGCATTTAGCCCAGTGTATGAGAGATTTACTCCTCATCCTCATCAGTACTTGCTGTTTTCACTATTTTGGGGTCTTATTTTGTACTTAATTTTCATTTACCCAATGAATAATGATCTTAAACATTTTTCTGTGTATTTACTTGCCGTCCTTATATTCTCTTTGTTGAAATGTCTTTTTAAGTTATTTTTCTGGTTTTTAAATTGAGTTTTCAAGGAAGAGTATTTGGCCTGAGACATCTGCATTCCATATTGGAATATCTAGATTTGAGTCCCACTTTGCTGCCAATTCTAGCTTCTCACTAATGTGTCCACTAGGGGCAGAAGGTGATGGTTCAAGTAATTGCACTCATGTAGGATACCTGGATTGAGTTTTTGGCTCCTGGACATTTGTGGATGGGAGGGCTCTCTGCCTATCTGTCTCTCTGACTCTCTAAATAAATAAGTAAATAAACAGATACATACATACATACAGAAAGATTGAACTGCATTCTTATTTTTCTTTCTATATTTTGCATACATATACTTTGTCATATATGTCATTGACAAATATTTACTCCTAGTCTAGGGCTTGTATTTTTGTTTTTATTGTTCCTTTTATTCTTGCATCATGAATTGTATTTCATTTGGCAAGTTCTCTTATTTTTCTTTTCCTTTTTTTCTGTTAAATAACAGGGAAGCCTGTGCATGTCATCTGGGATTAAAACTCCAAAAAGGTGGGAACTGATGATTTCTAACACAACCTTTGCTAATTTTGATCGCATCAGTTGTGTGGCCATCAGAACCTGTTCAGGGTGTTCTCAAGGACAGGGTAAGTTGTTTGAACAGATAGGACCAATGGCAAATAAGGCCAGTAATCAACAAAATATGATAAACAGTGACAAAACCTTTGTGACTCATTATTTATTTCCATTATAAGATTATATCAGAATTGCACAAATCTAAAAAAAAATAGTATGGAAGGACATGTCCTCCCATTGTGTTTCTTTGTGTCCCCATGCTCCTTCTATGATGGTGTCCATCACATTCTATCATGATGCTGCTGTGTCTGTTCTGGGTTCTGTGTTTTACAGAAGTAGAGATCACATCTCTCTGGCTCAGAATTTGATTATAGTAAAAGAGAATCTAGTGTGTATTAGGCGTTCACTGATTAAATTAATCAGTGATGTTGGATGAGTTGACACATGGGCATACACTAACCTGAATACAACATTTCCTGCAGGAGCCAGAGTTCAGGTAGTTAATGTACCTGCCAAAAGCTTGATGTGTGCATGAGAACCATAGGAATTTTTGCTTACTTGTTAACCACACTCAGAGGTGATGAGAAAATCCTTAGAGATCTCATGTGCCAAGGTGAAAAGAGGTAGAGCTCAATCTAGTTGATTTGATCATTGTAAACAGCCAAGCAACTAATTCAAGTAAATATGCTCTTGTGGTTTGAATCACCAATTGAGATAATTGTTTTTTTTTAATTAAATGAATAATCAGCAATTCTCTGCTTTACTTTTTTTCCCCTCCTCTGTGGGCAGAACCAATAATTGCTTTTATTTGGATAACATCTGAACTTAAGGTTGTATGAATAATAATAGTAATAAGAAATGCCTCATGGCAAGTGCTTAAAAATCACAATTCTTTCATAGCTTCACCATTTCATATCATTCATAAGGTGCTGAAAATAATCACAAAAAAATTAAAATTTAAAATATTTTTAAAACATCAAAAATTTTTAAAAAAGATTTATTTAATTTTATTTGAAAGAGTTAGAGAGAGAGGTAGAGACAGAGAGAGAGAGAGAGGTTTTCCATCTGCTGGTTCATTCCCCAGATGGCCACAACAGCTGGAGCTGTGCTGATCTGGGTCTCCCACGTGGGTACAGGGGCCCAAGGACTTGGGCCATCTTCTACTGCTTTCCCAGGCCATAGAAGAGAGCTGGATTGGAAGTGGAACAGCCAAGTCTTGAACTGGTGCCCAAATGGGATGCCAGCGCTTCAGGCCAGGGCTTTAACCCACTGTACCATAGCGCCGGCCCCCACACTACTCTTTATGAACTCGAATTCTTTGTTATTGGATGATCTGGGCTAAATCACCTCTCCATTTGCTTAAAAACTGTTTGTGGGGTGGGCATTTGGCACAGTGGTTAGGTCACTGCTTGGAATGCTTACATCCCATGTCAGAATTCCTGGTTCTAGTCCTGGCTACTCCACTTTCAATAGAGCTTCTTACTAGTTTACATCTTGGGAAGTAGTAGATGATGGTTCAAGTACTTGGGCCCCCATCACGCATATGGGACACTTGGTTTGAGTTCTAGGCTCCTGACCTTGGCCTTATCCAACCCTGGCTATTGATGGCATTTGGAGAACAGGCCAGTAATAGAATCTCTCTATATCTCTTTCTGACTTTCAAATTAAAAAAAAAAAAAGAAAATAAATTAAAAAATTTTAAAACGCTGTCTATTCCATGGTATACTTAAGAAAGAAACTGGGATGAGGAGAGTACAAAATTTTAAAACACATAGCCCCTATTTTCCAAACTCTTGATATAAACTGAAAAATAAATGTCTAAGCCTGCCATTGTAAGAAAGAGTGATGATTGCAATGCTAGAGGATTGGATAAGGTGGAGTGACTATAGAGAGAGTATTAGGTGAGATTCTCAGGGAGGTGACTCATGAATAGTGTTTTTAAATGTGAATAGGAATTTATAATGGGAAATTGACAAAGGGAAAGTTTCCACATATTAGGGACAGCTTATAAAAAATAGAGATTTCAAAGAACAAATAGTGCCACAGGAATCATATCAAAGTACAATATGCTCAAGGTGTAGAACTGCAGGTGATTATAGTATTAGATGACCTAGGAAGTTATAAGAGATGGATTTTTGAAGTCTTTTATGCTTGACTTAATTTACTACATGTACTCTATTTGGATGTAGAATGAAACCATTAGTCTCTTATACATTTTACAGCTATCTTTTAAATTTTTTAATGTCAATGCAATTTACTCTAATGCAAAAATATATGATAAAGTTCAAAATCAACATGTTACCACACCCAATTTTATTCATTTTTGAGAAAAAAAAGAAAATTTCCAATTTCAAAGGAGAACACACCACTTTTAGCTAGATTCTAATATCCTTCTTAGGTGATCAGTTTAATGTCAGACTTACCTTTCCATCAGTTTAAGTCTTGACTTTTAGGGTAAAACTTAAAAAAAAAACAAACTTGAATTATTACCAAACAGGGTAAAGCTTACATGAGGCCAACTATAAGTTAGACGTCAAATTTCAGGAAATCAGGTATGGCTCAAAAATTAAGATAATCATAATAATCATGCATATCAACTACCAATGTGCTGTCATTGCTACTCAAATGTACAGTCATCTGCACTTATTGTTATGTATAATACAAATACAACAGTATGGTAGTATATATACTTGGAGATGTGGACTTAATTTGTGCTTTTAGTGCCATCAGGGTATGAATTAGAAGACTCCTGCCATAGTTTCTGTCTCATCAGTTTGGCTGGTAGTACCAAAGAATCATGTGGCATGTGTGTTGAAGATTGCCAAGATGTACAGCCCTAAAGCTAATTCTGAGAAAGTGTGTTATTGCTCAAATGATTAATTGAAGGCTGCTTTTGAGGGTAAATGTTTAAGTGTAATATTAAAGATATTTTGATGTAATGAGACTTACTATAGAGGAATAGAAGTCAGCAGATAGAAAGATAAACCATAGAGCCTTTAATGTTTAGTATTCAGTGTTGTCTATTTCTGCTTACCCCTAGATCACTTTCTTAACCTTAGTACTTTAGGAATTTTGGGCCAGATAACTTTTTGTTGTGGGGACTGTCCTGTTCGTTGTGGCATGTTTTACAGCAGCCCTGGTATTTGCTCATTAATGCCAGGAGAACTCCTCCCACCATATCCAAGTTGTGTCAGCCAAAGATTATTGCCAAATGTCCCCTGGAGGGCTAAACTTCCTCTAGTAGAAAGTGACTACCCTAGACCACAGGCTGCTCACAGCAGGGTTCGTGTCACTCCTGTTGTGTTTACTGTGTCCAGTACAGGGACTCTGGTGTTCTTGAATGAATAAGCAAGGTGTGCAATTTGAAGTACTGAAAGCATTCAGTAACTTAGTTGTCATTTTTGATAGTTGCCTTTTGTGCCATTGTGTAAAAGCCTTTATATCTTCCAATTTATAGGTGGATTTACTGTGAAGAGCAACCAGTTGACCTTCATAAATTCTCCAAACTTGGTAGCTTTTCCATATCCTCATGCAGCAATTTTGGAAGACCTGGATGGATCTCTGTCTGGAAAAAATAGAAGCCACATTCTTCCTTCTATGGAAACCCTTCCAGCTTCTTGTTTGGACAATGTGAGCTTTAGTCAGACTGTCCGTGGCAGCATCTGTCAGGGAGATGTTCTCTTTCATCGTATGTCCATTGGCTTGTAAGTAGAATTCACTGTCCTTTTTAGCTTGTCAAAATGCATACATATATCATTCAGGCTGTTGAGGTGTGTAGAAGGAAAATTGCCTCCTGGATTATTTGAAATATTTAGTTCTATGAAAGTGAAATGAGAGTAATTTTGACGGTTGCCAAATTATGAATTCATGGTAGTTTTTTTTTCTTTTTTTTTTAACTTGTATTTAATGAATATAAATTTCCAAAGTACAGAATATGGATTACAATGGCTTCCCCCCCATAATGTCCCTCCCACCTGCAACCCTCCCCTATCCACTCCCTCTCCCCTTCCATTCACATCAAGATTCATTTTCGATTCTCTTTATATACAGAAGATCAGTTTAGCATACATTAAGTAAAGATTTCAACAGTTTGCTCCCACACAGAAACATAAAGTGAAAAATACTGTTTGAGTACTAGTTATAGCATTAAATCTCAATGTACAGCACACTAAGGACAAAGATCCTACATGAGGAGTAAGTGCACAGTGACTCCTGTTGTTGACTTAACAAATTGACACTCTTGTTTATGGCCTCAGTAATCACCCTAGGCTCTTGTCATGAGCTGCCAAGGCTATGGAAGCCCCCTGAGTTCACCGACTCTGATCATTTTTAGACAAGGCCATGGTCAAAGTGGAAGTTCTCTCCTCCCTTCAGAGAAAGGTACCTCCTTCTTTGATGACCCATTCTTTCCACTGGGATCTCACTCGTGGAGATCTTTCATTTAGGTTTTCTTTTTTTCCCCCAGAGTGTCTTGGCTTTCCATGCCTGAAATACTCTCATGGGCATTTCAGCCGGATCCGCATGCCTTAAGGGCTGATTCAGAGGCCAGAGTGCTGTTAGGACATTTGCCATTCTATGGGTCTGCTGTGTATCTCACTTCCCATGTTGGATCCTTCTCTCCCTTTTTTATTCTATCAGCTAGTATTTGCAGACACTATTCTTGTTTATGTGATCTCTTTGTTTCTTAGTCCTATCATTACGATCAATTGTGAACAGAAATTGATCACTGGGACTAGTGAGATGGCATTGGTACATGCCACCTCGATGGGATTGAATTGGAATCCCCTGGTATGTTTCTAACTCCACCGTTTGAGGCAAGTCAGCTTGAGCATGTCCCGAATTGCACATCTCTTCCCTCTCTTATTCCCACTCTTATATTTAACAGCAATCACTTTTCAGTTAAGTTTCAGCACTTAAGAAGAATTGTGTATTGATTACAGTATTCAACCAAAAGTATTAAGTAGAACAAACAAAAAAAATACTAAGAGGGATAACATATTAAGTTGCTCATCAACAGTCAGGGTGAGGGCTGATCAAGTCACCGTTTCTCATAGTGTTCATTTCACTTTAACAGGTTTCCTTTTTGGTGCTCAGTTAGTTGTCACCTATCAAGGAGAACAAGTGGTATTTGTCCCTTTGGGATTGGCTTTATTTCACTCAACATAATGTTTTCCAAATTCCTAACAGGGATCACTTTTCAGTTAAAATTTAAACACCTAAAAACAATTGTGTGTTAATTACAGAGTTCAACCAATGGTACTAAGACAAAAAAAAAAATACTAAAATGGATAAAGTATTACATTGTACAGTGACTTGATCAGCTCTTCTCCTGACAGTTGATGTACAATGAATTCATGGTAGTTTTAGGCTCACTGTAATGGTAGCTAGTTTTCAAGATGGTTGGAGCAGATCTCATAGCCCATGACCTCTTATTGACATTTTGAGTTAACAGACCCTTTTAAAAAGGAGCTACAACCAATAAAGAACTTGAAATGAATTAAAATTAAAATTATTATTAAAAAATTTGAATAATGTCCATTCTAATTTATATACATGTACTTTCCCCAAGCCCTTTTTAAGTGTTCGCTCCAGGGAAGTAATTGCTGATGCCACCTATTACTTGCAAAGTTGCTTCACTTCAGTTCATTTTCCTTGTTAATCTCATGAACTATTGGGTTTATACAATACATATCCTATTAATACTGGGGCAAGCACTCCTTGGCTATGCTTCTGAAACTACCATTAAATCAGCAGCTGGGCTGTTTATAATGCATAATAGGATTGCTTGTGCCCTCTTTAATTTGCAGGTAATGACTGCTGAGTGTCTAGGGTTCTGTGTTTTACCTATTTCAAATGCATTGTATATATTTAGCCACATTTATTTCCTTCCTTTAAGTGTCCTAATTCCATGAATATTAAGTTGATTAATTCAATGAGACCACCTTGGTATCTTATTCGAACATGTAAACTCCAGAGAGTGAGAGTCATTGTGGTCAGGATTGTACTAACTCTGCATTTTCGATGTATATGGAATCAGTATCTTGACCTCTGTTTTGTTAGCCTTAGAAATACACTGTCAGCACTGAATAGGCTGAAACTTTTTCATTTTTGCTTTCCAGACTGTTCATTATATCTAAGTATAATGGGCCCAATTCCAATGAGTTAAGTATGGAGGGATGTGTTTTTATTTCTAATTTTGGTTGTGCAAAGCATGACTTTTTCCATCATTCTCAGAAATGTATCCTGATTTATATTATTCCTGTGTTGATTTTACAAAAATAAGTGTTTTGAGATTTACAAAAGTTAGTGATTTATTTCCTATATGCATTCTTTCAAATAGCCTTGTGTAGCTAAAAGGAACAGTACATGCTTGTATGATATTTATTTCTATGTGTTCCTGATACTCTTGTTATGCCTTTGATATCTATTTAGACTGTCACTTGTGGAGGCATTTGTCAAGGTAGTAATAGAAGGCTCTGCAGAGCCTCATTCTTGACTGGGCATCACTCTTTGAGATATTTAGGATGTGTTCTTAGCTTGGGAGTAGGTCATTATTCCACCATTCAGAGACAGACAAGGTCAAGAACATGATCCTGATTCCATATTATAATTAGACTCAAAAGGTTTCTGGTAGAATGAAAAATTCTTCTTGTTTATTTCTGGAATTTTCCTGGTTTCCAAAGGGAAAATCCCATGTCTTGGAAATATTTTCAGTCCCCAAAAGCTAGGATGAGTAAACACACTACTTCTACTTAAAATTTTCAGATTGATCCACAGGTCTATGACCATTAGTTAACTGCCTTATATTAGCCTTTAAGTAAGTCTCTGTGTGCTTCTGGGATGTTTTTTGGCCATAGTGTCCTCACCTATAGAATAAAGTAGACTAGCAGTATCAGCGTTACCAGGGAGCATCTTAGAAAGAAGCTCAGACTAGACCCCAGCTGTCCTGAATCAGAATATCCAGGTGACTCAAATTATCTTTTAGGGAAGCACTGCTCTAAAGTCCTTCTAATTTTAACTTTCTATGATTCTATCCCTAGCTATTTGTGTTCAGTGGCTTGATCTTTGTCCCAGAGCATTATAACCTCATTAGAAACATGTCAGAGCTAATGAGCAATTTGAATTAAGCTTAGATACAAACTTTGCTGCATTTCATGGAGAAAGGATTAATTTGTTGTGCTATTCGCCCTCGGGCAAGCACCCTAAGAGTTGATTTACAAAACTCTCACAGTCATGATCTTTTGGGGTTGCTTGTTGATGGAGATCTTATATGGCACAAGCACCCTGCAGTCTTCACTTTCAACTCTTACTCTCTCCCTCAGCAAGAAGTCCCAAGAGAGCAGGGAGTGAGGCCTAACATCAACATTTCCTGGCCCCCTTTGAGAAAACCAAGAGCTAAGAGAATGAATTCTTCTTTGATAGGCCCACTCTCTGGTATATTGTCATGTCCGTCTTTTTACAATGTTGATAATCTTCTATTTTTGTTCTTCACTGCCTTGTATGAGTCTCATGGGTGCCCACTTTTGTACTGCTTCCATTTTTATTGGTTCCTATAACTCAGTGCCAGCAGCTGGCTTGACAGAAGCATATAAATATTTTAAGTTGGCCATAACATTTAATATTTGGGTGAATAAAAAACTGCTACTATCTATAAGGCAGAGTCTAGTTTATATTTTATTTAAAGGATGACATATTTGATCTAATGTGAATGCTTCTGATATTGTTCTCTTTGACCAGTTCTAAAAAACATACTTGCTATAAGAGCCACAGGTTTACTGGAGAAGGTTCCTTTCCCAGCTTTTGTTTCTACAACTCTTCTTCCTGTTGAGGCAAGGGTGGTAACCCTACCAAAGCAAAACCAGGATCTTATTTTAGAAATGTATACCAACATGGCTGGTGCCGTGGCTCACTAGGCTAATCCTCTGCCTTGCAGCGCCAGCACAGTGGGTTCTAGTCTCGGTCGGGGCGCTGGATTCTGTCCTGGTTGCCCCTCTTCCAGGCCAGCTCTCTGCTGTGGCCCGGGAGTGCAGTGGAGGATGGCCCAGGTCCTTGGCCCCTGCACCCGCGTGGGAGACCAGGAGAAGCACCTGGCTTCTGGCTTTGGATCAGCGCGATGCGCCGGCCACAGTGCGCTGGCCGTGGCAGCCATTGGAGGGTGAACCAACGGCAAAGGAAGACCTTTCTCTCTGTCTCTGTCTCTGTCTCTCTCACTGTCCACTCTGCCTGTCAAAAAAAAAAAAAAAAAAAATGTATACCAGTAGCCATTATTTTTTTCTGCAGGGATCCAATAATGATGATATGCCCACTATAATTCTTGAATTTATAAGTCTCAAAATTTAGTAAAATGAATTCTTCTAAACAGAGATCATTATACAGAAGGAGGATACTATTATCAATAGCTATTTTGTGTGTGCTCCTCCATTTCCTTGTAAACTTCTCTTGAATGCTTGTATTCTTTAGGATTCTGTTAGGATATGTTTTTTGCTCTCATGCCATATGTGCTTCCCTGGTGACCAGGTTTCTTTTCATGCATCAGTTAACTTTCAATGATGATCCCTGATTTTTCCTTACAGTCTACACTGCTGTATTGCTCTCCAGACCCTTCTATCCAACCACTCTTAGAATCTGCACTGTCCAGCATTTTAGCCATGAGAAACTGATGGCTACTGAGCATATGTAGTGCAATGTAGCTAGTACAAACAGA